ATATAAACCAGTATGATTACTAAAATGTCCTTGTCTCAAATCAAATATTTTTAATCACATTTTCATTAGTTATTTTTAATCACATTTTCATTACTAAAATGCCCTTTAGTTCTTTATTTTTATTTTTCATCTATATTTATTTTTAATCATCTTTTCATTAGTTATTTTAAAATGCCCTCATTCACTTCACTTCCTTAGCACCACCATACCCTAATCCTCCAACACCACTCTCCCATATCATCTTCCCAGTTTCCATCCCGCATAAGAAAATACTATTTTAAGAACCTAGTCAAATTCATCTTCCCAGTTCCCACCCTGCAGAAAAAAAAAAAATTTAACATTTTAAGAACCTAGCCTATGCATCCTCCCAAATCCCACCCTGCAGAAAATATTTCGGAAAGCAATTGGAGCCAAGGATCAGACAAGCATCAACATCGCCAACGGCACGAGCAATTTGGCCCTGAACTTCGAGGTCCCAATCGTCAAACCAACATCACACGAGGATGAGCCGGCTGTGTCGACGGTCGAAGCGTCTGTCGAAGCATTTGCAAAGCCTCTTGATAAGAGGGCATAATAGGAAAGAAGAAATGCATTCCCGATTCCTTCACCATCCCGGAATCCAAATACCTCACCCATAGAGGGAGTCCAATTCTTCCAATTTCAGGAATTGAATTCCATTTTTCGTGTGGATCCCACACACTATTGATTCCTTTAAATTGTAGTAAACACAAGAGTTATCCGTAATTAAAATCGGATTCCTTATTTTCATTCCGATTACAGGTGCATAAACACAGCCTTAATCCATAGAGTATACTTGTCATTCAGCTAAGGACCAGCGTAATATTATTAGGATAGTGCTATTCATAAACCTATTTCTCTCCACCACACACTTGTTAATTTTTGTCTATTAATATTCTTTAATTTATCCGATCTGACAACTGAAAATTGAGAAGAGTATGTAAAAATTAAAAAGAGGTTTTTGAATAACACTATTTTATTTTTAATACGGAAATGATAAGCAAACACCATTTTTACCCTCTCAACACAATCTTATTTAATTATTACTGTTGTTTTCATTTGACTTTTTTCAATTTAATTGTTAGAAATACAAATAAATCATAAAAAACAAACAACGGTATGTGAAAATCATCTGCCTTCTATTATTGTATTCTTTCAACTTGATCGAATTGCCATTTACAGTGATCGTTTTATGAGGCGGCCCCGAATGATGAAAATGTTGCATTTTAATACATAAAATGGCCGCCGTTTTGTGTTCCATACTGATACAGTGTGTGTCTAACAGTAACCCCTACTCCAATCAGCTCTATATGTTTCTAGTGATTGTGTGTGAATGTTGCTTCAAAACAATAGAACATCACCATCACGACCACCAAATGCTGTGTCCAAGTGAAATGAACCCATGTTTTCTTGTCGTATTCCATCTAGTGCTTCTCACCTTGTTAATTGCTCGGAAGCTTCTTCATTTTTCATAAATTGGCTGCCAATCTTGACCCTAACGTCCTTTTAAAAATAACCATAATGGATAAAGAAGAACATCGTAGATGACGTGTTTGTAACTAATTTATTTCCTTATCTTTTAGAATATATATTGTTTCAAAACAAAAAAAAATTATGTCACTTGGTAGTTGGTAATACATTATAGTAGTATTCTTTTTTACTTATAATTGAGAGGTTTTGCTACTTAGTACTACGGTCCAGTGATATTCCTCTTCACTTGTAAGTGAGAGGTATTAGGTTATATTCTCGCCAAAAGCGAACTTGAATCACATTATAGCAAACTCATTTTGAGGCTGAACCACCTCCTCTCTCTTGGTGTATATAATATTGTTTGCTTAGAAAAAAAAAATGAAAGGTTGTAGGTTGAAATTTTATGATTGACGATTTCGAATATATTCTCTTACTCTTTAGTTACGATACATATTGTCTTATCAAAAGAAAAATTATTCATATGTAGGGGAGGGTAATTTTGGGCAAGCCGTAGTAGAATTGCATCTAGTTGAGACATAGGTCATGGTCATACTTCACGGTAGTTGTTGGGGTACGGTCAAACGGCCCGTGCTCCCGGTCCATCCCAATTTCAAGGTGCATATTAATAATATTGCAATGATAATGTTTACTACAAATCCTCGTCCAATTAAAATTGAAAATGTCAATGGAATCTCAATTTTTTAACATTTTAAATCATTTATATTTTAATTTATTATGTATAAATTATTTTTATAAAAAAGTAAACAAATTCAAATCTATTAAGATATTCAATTGTAGTGTAGAAAATAAATACAGTGTTTCAAAGAAGGAGAAACTTGTTATGAATCCAATTCTGTGAGTTATTTTTTAGATGAGTCCAATTATATTCTATGTTAGTTTTTTTTTGTCATTTTCATACCAATTTACCCCTAAAATTACTTATAAGTGATCAATATTATCCCTTGATTTTAGGATTAGTATTTTTGATAAGTTTTACCTATTTGAGGTTTAAAGAATAAAATTCCCTTAATGATAGGATAATTGTTGAAATAAAATTACTTCCTATATATCTCCAAGTGATGATACGCCTCTTCATTTGTTCTTCATTTATCTATTCTTTCTTTTTAGTTTATTATCTAAAACCTTTTTCTTAGTTAGGATTTATCATTTGCCTTGCAAATCTTCTTTTCTTTATCATTGTTCAGTTTTCCTCTTCTCTTCTTAGGCTTCCACTATATCTTCTTCTTCTTCTTTATAATTGTTGGAATAAAATTACTTCATATATATCTCCAAGTGATGATACACCTCTTCATTTGTTCTTCATTTATCTATTCTTTCTTTTTAGTTTGTTATCTAAAACCTTTTTCTTAGTTAGGATTTATCATTTGCCTTGCGAATCTTTTTCTTCTTTATCATGGTTCAGTTTTCCTCTTCTCTTCTTAGGCTTCCACTGTATATGAAATTTGATTATGTTTGATCAAAGAATGGAGGTTGGTTGGCTTCTTTCATCAAATTGCTTGTTATGTTCAAATTAGTTAATTTCGTGGTCAAAGTTGGATCTTCATTTGAGTTGTATTTTTACTCAAATTAATTGATTTCATGGCCGATATTAATCTACCTGTATCACTAGATTTTGTTATATAACCTACCTCTATTATAGGCATATTATATTTTTCTATTTTTATTATCTATCTCTATCACAAATTGCTTCTATATGTTTTCCTATATTACATAGTAATTTATCTTGCTTATAGGTAGGTAAATTGTGTATACCTATTGATTAGATATATTTTCTTCTTTTGATATCTTACTTGTGACATCCCACATCACCCAGGGGAGTGATCCTTAAATGTATATTCCTATCTCTACCTAGTACAAGGCCTTTTGGGAGCTCACTGGCTTTGGGTTCCATGGGAACTCCGAAGTTAAGCGAGTAGCGCGCGAGAACATCCCAGGATGGGTGACCCATCGGGAAGTTCTCGTGTGAGTTCCCAGAAACAAAACCGTGAGGGTGTGCTGGGGCCCAAAGCGGACAATATCGTGCTACGGTGGAATCAGGCCCGGGAAGCGGTCCGCCCTGGGCCGGGATGTGACAATTTGGTATCAAAGCCTAACCCTGGTCGTGGTGTGCCGACGAGGACTTCGAGCCCTTAAGGGGGGTGGATTGTGACATCCCACATCGCCCAGGGGAGTGATCTGCCCCGGGCCGGGATGTGACATTACTTATATGTATATGTACATTTATGTATTAGTACCTTTTAATTAGGTTGTATATTTTTGCAACTTAATCTATGACAAAAATATTTTATTTTATTAAAAGGTAAAGAATTGAAACGTTTTTTTTTAAATGTTTAGTAGATTGCAGATGTTTAAATATTCAAAATTTGAAAACAAGGGTAAAATAGGCTTAAAAAATAGTTAAGTGGACCTAAATCAGAAATTTTAAAAAATTAGACTAAAATCAATAGTGCCTCAAATTTTTGGACCTATATCTTAATGCCCCTTCAAAGAAATACTAAATTGATCACCATTTGTGCAATGGTTATATTATTTTCGATTTTTAGTAAAAATAATTTTCAGAAAAAAATCTAAAAGAAAAACTAATGAAAAAGAATTGAAAACTTTGAGTTTTAATCAAAATGACAAAAAGGCGTTGTAAGTGAATAGTACAAGAAGTGACTTTTTAGAGTAAAAATAATATTTTCGTTAAAAATAAACAGTGCCATAAGTGTTTCCGTTAAAACTCTCTAATTTTCTCAACTTTGCAAACCGGTTAGGCCTGAGCGGTTTAGGCCTAAATCCAAACATTTTGCCTCTTGATTTTTTCAACTTTGCTGACTCACTAGTGTGTGTATGAAAAAGAAAAAAAGGGCCCATGCATTCTAATCCTTGGGCTGTCCATTACCAAATATTGCGGCCCGTTTATAACTTCAATTTTACGGTCTTACATGGGCTGGTGCAAAACATGACCCAAAACATCAAGATTGACTAATATAGAATGAATTCATTACTATCGTGAAGTTCTGTTTAATAAAAAAAAAATAGTGTAAGCTTTTTAAAACATGCTTATGATATTGAATTAGAACGCTATATTCCGGTAAACTCATTCCATACATTAAGGTAAAACTTTGGCAATAGTTTGAGCACTAGGTTTGGTGCATTGGCCTTTTCATTGGGGAATAAAGTGCTTTTTAATGCTTTAAGCTATCTCTTGTTGTGCGTCCATACGCTTAGGCGTGGCAGTGGTTGGGGGCCTAATCAACCTTGCCATCCCAGCCACGTTATGACGTACGCATACACGGACGGTGCATGTGAGTCGTGACCCATCATCTTCTTCTCATTTCTCATGTACTTGAATTACCATTTTGCCTCTGTGTTATGTGTAAAGCCAATTGGTGCATGTCACGTGCCCTGCATGTTTTAAACCTAACTCATTCTACCTGCATGCCCTGTCATCTGTTTATTGGGGAGTTGAACCTAGCTAGCTCTATATATATATGCGAGTGAGTGTAACAAGAATGTTAAAAGCTTAATTTCGTTTACGTTAAAGTCCATCCATCCCCACCTTCTTATGCATAAGTAGTCCACAGAGAGAGAGAGAGAGAGAGAGAGAGAGAGAATGGAGCTGTGGTGGTGGCAGCTGCGACGTGCTTTTGTTGTGGCAGCGGTGGTGGTAGTTACAACACAAGAAGGTTGTGTTCTCGGAGAAGATGTCACGTACGACGGCAGATCGCTCATCATTGATGGGGAAAGAAGACTTCTGTTTTCAGGTTCTATTCACTATCCTCGGAGTACACCTGAGGTAATTATGTTGTGTATATGTATGCAACCCCCCAACATTTTAAGCCGTTCATTTCATCAGTACTTGAAATTAGAAGTCACTACAAATTAAGCAGTTCATGATCACACAGAATCAGTTAACATATTGAGTTTCTTATAATATCTTCTTATACCCCACCCACAGTTCTCTTATGTAGAATATATATATATATATATATATATATATATATACACACACACGAGCTGTCAAAGTTTCTGTCAAATACATACATATGCTCAAGGCAACTAAGGGGTTGTTTGATAACAATTTCGTTTTTAGTTTTTGGCTTTTAATTTTTAGTTTTTGAAAAACTAAAAACTGAAATCTTGTTTGGTAATAACTACTTCAATTTTTCAATTTTTTAGAAAATGTAAACTCAAGCCAAGTTGTAAAAACTCAAGAACGTAGTTTTTGGTTTTCAATTTTTAATTTTTTCAAATAGTGAAAACTGAGAATTAAATGGTCGTCTAAACATTAATCATAAATATATATAGAAATTAGTATATGTTTTAAGGAAAATGCTAGAGATACCGCATTGGTGTACCATCTCATGTGACAAGTGATGTGCATATATCACGTTACTTTATCAAACTGTCTATAGTATCAGTCAAAGGAGGAGTGGGACTAGAAACAACTTATATTAGGTTGCAAACACTAAATGTCTGTTTATAAACATATGTCACGGGTAGCAGGAGGTATTCGACCTTTTCTGACTTTATTCACATAGCATTTTGGAAATATGCAATTTATGTCTATTTTGTATGATGCTAGAGATCAGTAACTGTAAAGAATGTGAACCCTGGATGCATGCAGAATGATTATGTATATTGATATTGCCTATTAAATTCATTGGGTTTGGAGGAGTGGAAAGATTAACGACTCAAGGTAGTTGTTGATTTTGATTAAATATAAGATAAATGATAAAAAAAAAAAATGCTATGATATTACTTGATGATTCAAATCATTTATTTAGTTAAATGCGAATTTGCTTAGTCATGTACTTGTTATCCAATAATGGATGAACCAAGTTCTTTAGTTAAACAATAAAATTATAACAACACTGATACTTGGTTGATTTTTTTTTTTTTTTGCAAAGTTTATTTTTATAGAGTGATCTACAAAACACACAATTTTAATCAAGTAACATTCTTCATTTTATTACTCAATAATAAAATAACAAAACAGAAGCGAACAAAGCAAAAGTAAAATTTATCGAAGAATTCAGAAAGTTCAACGTATGTAATTGTATGCATGTGCGTGTGTGTTTATCAAATTCAAATGAATTATTGGGTATGTACTGTAGATGTGGGGATCTTTGATTGGGAAAGCCAAGGAAGGAGGACTTGATGTAATTCAAACCTATGTATTTTGGAACCGTCACGAGCCCCAGCCGGGCCAGGTTGGTTAATTTGATATCTCTCTCTCTCTCTCTCTCTCTCTCTCTCTCTCTCTCGTTAGAGAAATATTTCAGGATGTCGAAAATACGATTCGACACAATAAGTGCCACAACACAAGTAATTGAAATTTATTTTTCAAGTATCCAACTATTTATCTTATAACACTTGATGTACCGAATCGTATTCACGATATACTGAAAAATGAATATCTCTCCTCTCGTTGGCATAATATTGGTTGATTAATATTTACTTTGAATATGGGCATATTATATGCAGTACGATTTCAGTGGAAGAAATGATCTAGTAAAATTTATAAAAGAAATCCAGGCACAAGGGCTTTATGCTTGCCTCAGGATCGGACCCTTCATTGAGAGTGAATGGACATACGGGTAAATTAACCCTTATATTTTATATATTAATTAATTTGCTGCAATTAGGGAATTAATTTCTAGGTTAACTTTTTAAAATCCTTTAATTTATATATATTTGCAGGGGACTTCCGTTTTGGCTGCATGACGTCCCAGGCATAGTTTACCGCTCAGATAACGAACCATTCAAGGCATGTCTTTGATGTCCCCTTCCTCACTCACGTACCCATGCATATGCATGTACACAATGCATGTATAATTGTATATTATCTAGCTCTTCGATACCTAAGTTCACAATTTTCTTCAATTGTGCATAGCATTAAGTGATATGATAACTGATGGTTGAAATTGAAAATAAAATATTTATCAATTATGCAAATCAAAATTTATGGTTAAAACACTCGTAACATTATCTACTATGTAATATAGCGTTATGATCATGTTGCTTGCCTGCTGTATTTTTTATTTTATTTTATTTTTTCTTTGTAGTTTTATATGCAAAACTTCACTACAAAAATAGTGAACTTGATGAAGTCAGAGGGTTTATATGCATCACAAGGAGGCCCAATCATACTGTCGCAGGTATCGTCAGTAATTTGAATTCAATATTCAGTGTCAATTGCCATTTTTTTTAGTACATCAATATATTTTTACACTATGGCTTATGGGAGGGGAAATTTGGCTAAGCCACACAATGGGCAACCTAATTTGGTATCGAATTCGCCATCCACGATATTCGAACCTAAGACCTCTTACTTCCAAGTAAAGAGAAACATCAGCAGACCGTAGTACTGAGTGGAATATCAATTGCCACTTAGAAATTCAGTTAAGTGATATTCATTTTCACTTATAACTTATAAGTGCGAGGTTTTAAATTTGAATCTCGAAAATAATGAGTTTGCAACTAATTTATTCTCTCATACCCCTTAATGTGAATTTATCGTTGTATTAGAAAAATATTTTAGTGCCAATTGGTACCCACACGTAACTGCACATGTAATCCCTATATGTGTGTGTGTGTGTGTGTTAAAAACAGATTGAGAATGAATATCAAAACATAGAGGCAGCATTCCATGAAAAAGGACCCTCCTACGTTCGTTGGGCTGCAAAAATGGCAGTTGACCTCCAGACTGGTGCACCATGGGTCATGTGCAAGCAAACCGATGCTCCTGATCCAGTGGTCAGTACTCACTAATCCATTTTAATTAGGACAAAAACGTACTAGTTTTGTTATTTTAATTATCTATGGTATTAATATTATAATTAATTATGCGCTCTAATATGCGGGCATGCATGCAGATTAATACATGCAATGGCATGAAATGTGGGCAAACTTTTGGAGGACCAAACTCACCCAATAAGCCCACTATGTGGACAGAGAATTGGACGTCATTGTATGTTTTCCTAGTTTATATATATACATAATGTTTTCGTCTAATGACATTTTAATCCACGACACATTTAAATTTAGCACTCACATAATCTTATTCAATAGTAGTCTATATATTCGGACGTGCCCTTTAGAATCTATCTGTGTCATCAATAGTAAATTCATAAATCATAATCTTTTGTTTTAAGTTCATGATTTTTAAATCACGATGTCTTGAATTGTTCTTATGGTTCCTTTCACGAGATTCTTTTTTTTTTTTCTTTTTCTGTGGTTAATACATTTCTTCACGAATTTTTCTGTGTTTCATCTTATTTTTCAAGCTATCAAGTGTATGGTGGAGAACCGTACATAAGGTCTGCTGAAGACATTGCGTTTCATGTGGCTCTCTTTATAGCTAGAAATGGAAGCTACATCAACTATTACATGGTATGTTTGAGTTTCTACAAACATAGCTCCTTTAAAAACATTCCTTACCTTTTATAAATCTTTGTTTTAGAATAAATACTTTAATTTTTCTCCTTTGAAACCTCTCTTAAACCTAATCATATATATTTAGAGTTATTTGTAAGAAATACTTGATGAAGAAGCCATGATCTTCACAGCTGACCTTCTCCTATCTTTATCAAATTCTTAATGCTCAACTAACAATCGGTTGTAGTTCAATAATGAGTGAGTCTATTTCTGTGAGAGTAGAGGTCATATTTATATAGACAAACAATTCCTACCATTCTCCTATTAGAATCATTGTTGGAAACCTACATTGTCTCCTAATTTTAATATAAACGAGTAATTTAAGATTCATTCCCAGTTGTAATCCTTTATAAACTAGGCGAAATACATCTAAACTTATGCTCGTATTCTAACATTATTCTCTATATCAATATATATGTAAATATCTATACTATTATTAATAAAACACTCTGTGTAGAAAAAATAAAACTTAACTTTTTTTTTCTTTCCTCACCCATATGTTAGCAAAGCATATTCCTAATAGTCTAATTAAAAAATAAAAATAACACGCGTTTTCTGTCTCGCTCTCTTCCATTCCTCTTCAAATTCTTTCTCTTTCATATTACAATTTTTTTTCAAGTTTTTTATATTTACACACGAGATACGATCTTCGCCGGATCCTCTTTGTGAGGATTATGGGAATTCTTTAATCCTATTCATTCATCGTACATCATGCGGTTAATTTTTGTCATGTACTGTTTGTTTTCAATTTTAAATAATATAATTTAAAATAATTTATGATCGCAAAATGTGCGATGAAAGAATAAGATTAAAGGATCCCCGGGATCCGGGATCCTCACAAAGAGGATCCGGGGAGGATCCTATCTACTATGTGGGTCCCATTTAGTATATATTAATCAAATAATTGATTAATTGGTATTGCACTTATCGTAACCTAGTATCACGGGGGAACTAATTTCGGAAGAACAGGCTCGGCATATGTCATAACAGGTTACTATGATCAAGCTCCTCTCGATGAATATGGTGAGTTCTTCTGCATCATATTTATTTATTAGGTAGTTAATCCTCGATTTAATTCATGGTTAATTAAGTAACCGCTAATTATAAATTGTTCTCTCAAATTAGGTTTATTAAGGCAACCCAAGTGGGGTCACCTAAAGGAGTTGCATGCTGCAATTAAAAGTTGCTCTACAACTTTACTAAACGGAACACAAACTAATTTTTCTTTAGGTCAACTTCAAGAGGTAAGATAATACAAATTTATCTGATTCATTAAACAGCCTTTGAGGTATTTGTCGATTTTCCTCCTTCTTGAGAGCTGTCAATTTTCTTTATGAAACTTTAATTTTAACTAAGTACACCTCGGAACTTTTATTATTAGCCAAATTTTCCCTAAGCTATACTTTATAATTGTAAAAAGATGATTCCCTAATATGGACAAAATATTGTTTTTTTCTTCTTCTCCTCTTTTGCTAATTCACTCGTACCCTTTTTTTAGTTTCAATTTTAGGGGTTTAGAAGGGGGAATTAATTAAAGTTCGGGGAAAAATTTGCCAATTATAAAATTTAGGTGGTAATTAGTTAAAATTAAAATTCAAGAGAAAAATTGGTAATTATAAAAGTTCAAGCGGTAATCGGCTAAAATTAAAATTTAAGAAGAAAACTAACAGCTCCTTACAAGTTCAGGAGAAAATCGACGAGTACCTATTTCATTTTATTACTTCAGCTGATTTATTAAACACCAATTATTCATAGTTGATTATTAATGAATATTATTTGTCTAGGCCTATGTCTTTAGCGAAGAAAGTGCAGGAAGATGTGTTGCATTTTTAATAAATAACGATGAAAAAAGTAACGCTACGGTTCAGTTCAGAAATGCTTCTCATGAGCTGATGCCAAAGTCAGTCGCCATTTTATCTGACTGTGAAAAGAAATTTTCAATACTGCAAGGGTAAGTTATCTAATTTTTTAATTTTTTAAATGATTAATATTTTTTTTTTTCGTTTTGGGTTTAAAACAAAGCAAGTTATCTAATCTTGTCATATATGAAGAAAAAAAGCTATCCATTTTTCTTAACACCTACATTTCCAAATCATTGTCCATTATTTTAGTTTAAGTATGGATAATCACTCAAATTTTAAGGTATTGTTTTAAAATAATTTAGAATGATTGCAAATTTGTTTTAAATTTTTAAAACATTCATTAATGTTATGAAAATTGGCTGTTAGATCACTAGCATTAACTGATGATGTCATCATTGTTAAGTGATGATGTAGACAAATTTGAATTTTCAGTGATACACATCTATAGAGGAGCTCCAAACCCTTAAGTTCAACCTATTTTGCGAACTTAAACACTATATTCACTTGGTTAAAAGAGGTCGATATGGAAATTCAAAGTTCCATAGATAACGTGTTAGTGAAAACTCAACCATATCCCTCAATTATTAGACCACATCATCACTAAACCTTGTTGGTGTAATCACTTAACATTAGACCTAACGTATAATCAAGTTTTCTAAATGTAACAGTTAGTTATTTAAAACCCTTAGAAGGTTGAGACCAATTTAAATCAACTTTACATGTTTGATAGATATTGGTACTTACCTTTTTTTCTAAATTAGTTTCTTGTCATGTAATGGTAGAACATTGGCACACAAGGAAAAGTAATGGTTTGTTTTGTTCTTACTTATTATTAATAGGTTAATACAAAGCAAAACAAAAGAATCATAAGATCAACAAAAATATTTGATACAATGGACAAATGGCAAAAGTTCACAGATATCATCCCAAACTTTGAAAATACTTCACTACAATCAGACACATTACTCGAGCATATGAACGTGACAAAAGATGTATCGGATTATCTTTGGTATACTTTGAGGTACATTCTTCATCTCTTACCAAATACTACTTTTTCCACGTATACAACCTCTTATTTATAGAAATAACTGAGAACCATACTTCGCTGCTAAAAGAATAATAGTAAGTGTTGCTGAAATACAATCACAAATGGACAAGTGCCCAATCACAATTTCCAATTTCAATTATTTAAATACGTATTCATTTATGATTAATTTTTCAGTAGTACTTACTGCTCTTTTATCAGTAGCGAATCATGGTTCAATAACTAATGGAGCCTTTAATCTTTTTTTTTTTTTTTTTTTGAACAGTTTTCAACACAACATTTCTTGCGCTGAACCGGTACTTGTTGTAGAGTCTCTCGGACATGTAACACATGCTTTCATAAACAACATGTATATAGGTAACGCAATAACAATATATAAACATATAAATATCAAAACAATTTTGTGTCGTCTAGATTTAAAGATGATTACTTTAGTACAAAGAGTTCATGAAGAGCTTAATTTTTTTGAGAGTCTCGTTAGCAATTCTCATGCTGCATATTTTTATTAGAACATCCCAATCATTATTTGAAAACAAGTCAATTGAATTATTTATTTGTTTTAATTTATGTAATTGGATTCGTTTCTTACAGGAAATGGCCATGGCAGTCATGATACGAAGCAATTCGTCATGGAGAAACCAATTGGTTTAAACAACGGCACAAACAATATTTCTTTGCTAAGCGTAATGGTTGGACTTCCGGTAGGACTACGATAATTGTATTTATATATATTTATTTGTCATCCAGTTTCTCCTCTCGACTCAACAAATTTTTTTCTTCTCTGCAATTGCAAAGGATTCAGGAGCTTTTCTAGAAAGAAGATTTGCTGGCTTAAGAAGAGTGGAAATTCAATGCAGTAAAAAAGAATTGTACAATTTTACTAATTACGATTGGGGATATCAGGTAAAACCTTAATTACCAATATTCAATAATTCAAAACTTTTAATTATAGATTTGTAACGTTGGTAAATCACACGATAGTGGTTAGAGAAAAACTGAAATGCCCACGTTAGTCTTCCAGACCCCGAAAGGATGAAGCAAAACTAGCTGGTCTCTTATAGAAAAAATGAAAAAAAAACTTTTAATTATTGACGGATAACCCACAGAAATGAATTGTTAATATATTTGAATGAGATCTTTACAGGTTGGACTACTTGGAGAGAAAATGCAAATATACAAAGAAGAAAATATAGACAACGTCGAATGGAGTGACGTTGGAGGCTCTTCAAATCAACCACTTACTTGGTACAAGGTATGGGCAAAATATTATGAATAACTACATAAAAAAAATAAAATGAATACACTTGAAACGTCAAATGTTTTACGAGAAGAAGTACAAATACTCGGACAAGTACCTATGAACTCTAAAATTATGAATAACTATATAATAAAGGGAATTGTTATTAGCATTCTAAAAATCTCATTCTACACTCCAAACTTTTTATATTAGGAAAGAAAAATACACTTGTGAGGAGTGTAGAATGAGATTTTTAAAGTGCCAATAATACTTCCCTAATGAAATACAATTTTGTAAGAATTATCTTCATAGGGCTACTCAGCATTTTGTGTTAAAGATGTGAAATCATATTATTTATGTCTTTATGAATTGCAGATTGTTTTCGAGCCGCCGGTAGGAAATGATCCAGTCATCTTAAACCTAAGCTCAATGGGGAAGGGTGAAGCTTGGGTTAATGACCAAAGTATTGGTCGTTATTGGGTTTCATTTCTTACTTCTAAAGGAAAACCTTCCCAAACAATGTAAGTTAGTTTTCAATACCAAATTCATATAAATCACTACATATATTGACTCACATAGTTGCTACAAATTTTATTTTATTTGGTTTTTTATGTTTTACAGGTACCATATTCCTCGATCATTCCTCAAAAACTCTGGAAACCTTTTAGTTTTGCTTGAAGAATATGGTGGAAACCCTCTTCACACTTCCTTAAGCACCATTTCACTTTCCACTATGTATGAACCTATTTCTCACAACGAGCTTCGTTACAAAAATTACTAAGTAGTTGGTCGTTAATTTATTTCATTAACACCTATATAATATAGTGATTGTATAACCATCCAATACAAATCTGTATTCTTTATAACATCCAAGGATATTTACAAGTATTTCTTCCAGTCAATCACACTGTACAACCTTTAGTTTTTGCCTCATATAAATAAAGTGAATCCATAGTTTCAATTTTGATAAAATGAACTTTAAACTTTTGAGTTTGTTTCTAAGAAATTTAAGTGTGAGCGTGTTTCCACTAATATTTTACGCTGATAATACTATTTAAAATTTTGAATACAAAATAAAATTGTTTAAAAAATCATAAAACTAAAGATTTACCGCCTTTAACCAGAGAATATGATAGGATATATAATTTTTCCCAAAAATTATCGGTTACGATTTAAGAAATCCTAAAGGTGGGTATTTTGACAAAAACCAAAAAAAATGGACCGACTTGTTCAATTCAACGCGTTTTTTTTTTCCTTTCTTTTATGAAGTGAGGTTTTAGTAGCCCAACGTACAGTTTGGTTGGGCAATTGGAAAAAGGATTCTCATCAGATTTTTTTTTTGGGGATCAGAAAGATTCAGAAATTATGTTTATTTATTGTATATCGTGTGATCAGTTTTTGTTAGGTACTATTTAATTTAATTTTTAATTTTTAATTTTAAATAATTTCTAACTGTACGATGTACAATGAACAGACATGATTTCTGAATCTCTTGGATCGTCGGATCCATTTCCGGGTAATTGCCTTTGAAATTACAAAGTTGCAGTTTGACCAGAAGAGGGTAGAAATAAGCCAACAAGATCAGGATCCTTTTGGTGAGGATCTTGAGAATCTATGAATCGTGTCTGTTTATCGTACATCATGAAATCAGTTTTTGTCAAATAGTGTTTCTATTTAATTTTAAATAAAAATACTTAAAATGATTTCTGATGAAGGAACACGAATTCACCCTCACAAAGAGAATCCGGATTCGAAAAAAGGAATCAACCGATAATCTTATGAAAAGAAATTACATCAAAAATTAATTAACGTGCGAGTTGGAGACAGATGTGGAATCGGTGGAGGTTGATTGGAGGACACGATTGGGAAGCATGAGAAAGAGTGAGTTTGACGGGACGCTGTGAGTTAGACAAGTGCAAAATGAAATTGAGAAAGAAGTAGGATTTTGTTCCTTTGCGTTAACTAAAGTTATGAACACCTACTTAATTAAATGCATTGAGAATATTTATTCATTTTCGTTGATTCGTGTAATTAGATTTTTGTACGTTTTATTTTGTGTTTATACCACTTGATTTCGAGTGATTAATTACACAAAATAACGCTCGTTTGAAAACATGTACATGTGTATACATTTCTTACCTTGTATACGTTTCTTATCTTGTAATATTAATTCCTATTAAACCCAAGTATTTAACATGTACACGTGTCTTACCTAGCAAGATTAATTCCTATTAGACCCAAGTATTTATTGTGTAGTGTCTTACTAGACTTACCAAGTAAGATTAATTCCTATTAAACCTCAGTATTTATCGTGTACACGTGTTTTACCTAGTAAGATTAATTCTGAATAAACCCAAGTATTTAGCATGTATGCATGTCTTACCTTGTAACCCAAGAATTTATCATCTACACGTGTCTTATTTAGTAAGATTAATTCCTATTAAACCCAAGTATTTAACATGTACACGTGTCTTACCTAGTAAGATTAGTTCCTATTAAACCCAAGTATTTATCGTGTACACATGTCTTACCAGACTTACATAGTAAGATTAATTCCTATTAAACCTCAGTATTTATCGTTTACATGTGTTTTACCTAGTAAGATTAATTTTGAATAAACCCAAGTATTTAACATGTATGCATGTCTTATCTTGTAAGGTTAATTCATATTAAACCCAAGAATTTATCATCTACACGTGTCTTATTTATTAATATTAATTCCTATTAAACCCAATTATTTAACATATACACGTGTCTTACCTTGTAATATTAATTCCTATTAAACCAAAGTATTTAACATATATAAACTTAAGTATTTAGCATGTACACGTGTCTTATCTAGTAAGATTAATTCCTATTAAACCCAAGTATTTACTATTTAAGTGTAGCTGTGTACACCTGTCTTAACTTGTAATATTAAATTCTATTAAATTATTTCCTATGATTGGCATATGCGATGCTTAAGGAGAGAGATAGGAATAGGATGACTCATGACTCCGACATCGCTTGAAAATCTTTGTAGGCAAAATCTTGTACGGGAAAGTCGTGAGATCCACCGACTTCCTTTACCTAAAACCCCAAAAATGCTCCATCACGTGCGTTAATAAGAGTGGTGAAAATTTTTATTTTTTAAGTTATTAACTTTTTAGCACACATATCTTATTATTTATATAATAACACGTAATGTACCGTCACGTTCAAACCCCTGTCTTCTTTCTCTCACTACCCATTGGACAGTATTCGGCAGTTTCTGTCCCACTCAGATTGCTGAGCTCGAAAACCCTCAACTATTCGCCATAAATAGATTACACAAGTTCACATGCTCTGTTCTCTCTCTCTCTCTCTCTCTCTCTCTCTGCCAACCAACCATGTTCCCAAAGGCCAATGAGTGAGCTCGTATCAAGCTATCATTATTAAGCTAGCGTTGCGCTGAGCAAGAACTAAGAACCAAGAACTAAGGAGAAGATGAAGCTGCTGCCGCCATTGCTGCTGCTTTTGCTGTTACCGTGTTGGGCAATCGCGCTATTGGCAACGGCTGCGGCGCGCAATGTGAGCTACGACAGCCGGTCTCTGATCATTGATGGCCAGCGGAAGCTCCTCATCTCTGCTGCCATTCACTACCCTCGCAGCGTCCCTGAGGTAACTAAACCAATCCACTTCACTTCTCATTTCTCAAATTTAATTCAAAACCCACTTTACTCTTTCCTTTCAAATCATAGTCACGCTGAAAAGTTGGTAGCTTTTGCATTTTACTTGGCAGTTTAGTGTTCGATTGTAGACCTCTGACTTTGAGCCATATCGTTTTAATTTTGTTTGGTTATTTGATTTAGAATTTTGGATGCTTGTGATTTTTTGTTGTTGGTTACTTTCGATCTGTTGATGCGATAGTGGTGGGCCGTGGCCCGTCTCTCTGAAACTTTAACACTAGCTGCATTGTTATTTGGTTTAAATCATGATTGCGGTTTGTGTGCCTGTTTGCAGATGTGGCCGAAGCTAGTTCAAACGGCGAAAGAAGGTGGGGTGGATGTGATTGAGACGTATGTGTTTTGGAATGGCCATGAACCATCTCCAGGCAATGTGAGTCCACTTTCAAATCAATGGCTTTTTGATTGTGGACATTGTGCTTAAGTGCTACTTATGATTGTGTATACAGTAAACTGATTTGCACTTTTTCCTTTTTCTATTTGGGATTTTCAGTATTATTTTGGGGGACGATATGATCTGGTAAAGTTTGTCAAAATCGTCGAGCAGGCTGGGATGCATTTGATTCTTCGAATTGGCCCATTTGTTGCGGCAGAATGGTTCTTTGGGTATGCCATTCTATTTTCGTTGTAATATAGTTTCTACCGGAGGCTAGGTTAATATTGGCTCTTGCTGCATATCTCCATTTAATATCGTAGTCGTTGATTGTTCTTTTTTTCTTTTACTGACTTGAATTATTGTCTGACAACTCCTAAAACACGTTTGTAAATACAGAGGGATACCTGTTTGGCTGCATTATGTGCCTGGCACTGTGTTTCGGACTGAAAATAAGCCTTTTAAGGTATGGGAGTCAAATTGGTAAACCCTAGGTTACATATCTTTGCAGATGATGTTCCAAGAATATTCATTCTCTTTTGGTTGAAAAGAATATTCATACTTCCATGTCATCTTGTGATAAACTTTGATAGTGAATTCATTTTGTTATTACTTTCTTGTTCGCCTCGATGACTAGGCCATTGTGTTGCCATTATTTTTCAGTTTACGCTTACTTGATTAATTAATTAATTACATGTCTCTAACTGATTCATTTTCTTTTTTAAACTTGCTGGGGTTTCAGTATCACATGCAGAAGTTCACAACATTCATAGTTGACCTAATGAAACAGGAGAAGTTTTTTGCATCGCAAGGGGGTCCTATTATCTTGGCCCAGGCAAGCATCTTTGACTTTGAGAGTGCTAGTCAAGCTTTTTTCTTCCCGAACCATCTGGTGATAGTCAATTAACTGTCCTGATTTTGTGAAATTACACAGCACCAATACTTTATATCTGTATATTTATCCTCCTTGAGAGATAAGAACAGTGGAGAAAATATTTCAATGCCAGAATCTTACATTTCTACTCTATAAAATGCACCGGAGATGTCGAAAGGAGGAGGAAAGAAATATATGTTTCATGAACTTTGTTCCCTTCTATTAAAATGGGTCCTCTAGGTCCAAATTTCAAAACCCTGGTGATATCGATCTTATTTGTTCTGATTTGTTTTTTTTCCTAGATTAGCCTTTAACTAAGCTTGGTGACATTGTGTATTCATTCTAGTTCCCTGAATCATCACATCGTGTGATTGGAAGTGGTTCTCGATTTCAACATTTCACTTCTGTGATTGGAAACATAATTTTATTAAATAATATGAGGATGAGGGAACATGAATTGATGAGGGAACATGACTACATTTTTGGTTTTCTTACTAGTATGGTATGCATTATCCCAAACAGATTGAAGTTCTTGACTATTGTTTGTGTATGTGATTGTGTCTTATGTTAAGGGATACTAGTATTTGAAAGTAATTTCCCAGAGTTAAAGGATATGGGTGCTTGAAAGTAGCTTTCCGAGACACATCTCTCGTGTCTAGTAGATTTGATATGAGAAATCCCCGTAGAGTATGATTACGTAGAGTTACACTATTTGGTTAGCTATTCATTGTTAACCTTCGTTTCAGTCATGAATTTTTAGTCTTTCAGAACCTACAACTAATTTTTTTGATCAAGTAAATCAATTGCAGGGTTTGGGATTTTGCTCCAGCTTTAGTTTTGCATCTTGTTTGTTGGGAATTTGCTTCAAATCTCATTTATGTATGTCGTCGAGCAGATGTTAAGATTCATAGAATGGTGCATTGTGGGTTGCAGGTAGAAAATGAATATGGATACTATGAAAAGGATTATGGAGAAGGGGGTAAACAATATGCTATGTGGGCTGCTAGTATGGCTGTTTCTCAGAATATAGGTGTCCCTTGGATAATGTGCCAACAATTTGATGCTCCAGAGTCTGTGGTAAGGGTCTTGAACGGTTTATTACTTATCATACCATAGAGAATTTCTGTTTATTTACAATTATCAAATGTAAATATACAATTAACAGAATCCACATTCTGTGTATTATGTTTGAAATAAAGTAAAAATGATTTTGTGAGATTAAAAAGTTTTTGTTTTTACTTATGGAATCGGGACAGTATACGTCCTGCACGTGCAAACAAATGATGTTTTCCTTAAATGTGTTTGTGAGATTTAAGGTCTATTTCTGACATTTTTCATCAAAGTTTTGTACTGCAATTTCTCAAATGAAGTATTCTTTTTATGTCAAAACGATATAAAACCTGAAAATGCTCATTTGTTCACCTTATCTATTACATGTACAAGTTTTATTTGGCAAATCTACTTAGCCATGTTTTGTATCGCAAAATAAAACCCATTATGATCCCAGGCAGAATTAAATGGTTACTTGTTTGTGACCGGTCTACATTGTTATAGACTATAACTGATTACCAATCCCATGTTTCTTTTCCAGATAAATACTTGTAACTCCTTCTACTGTGACCAGTTTACGCCTATCTATCAGAACAAACCTAAAATTTGGACAGAGAATTGGCCTGGCTGGTAATGTAGTATTTCACCTCTGTCTCTCTGTTTGTGTTTCTATTACTATACTGCGTAGTTTTTCTGTTACGGTTTCCTCATCATAAGTTGTCTTCATGAAACTATGGCGCTTTGAAAACCAAATACAAGTCAGCTCCCATCCCAAAAGGCCAATGAATCAATGATGCTTCTAATATTCTTTCTTTGGGAATCAAAATTTCATCTTATGTGCTTGGATCAATCTCTATCCATTTCAGGTTTAAAACATTTGGGGGCTGGAATCCTCACCGGCCAGCTGAAGATATTGCTTTTTCTGTAGCTCGCTTTTTCCAAAAAGGCGGAAGCGTACACAATTACTATATGGTACTTCATTTTGTTGCATCTAATATCACATTCCATGTCAGTTTTGTACTTAATTACCATCTTGTTGTTGGCATTACGGTTTTTGACATAATTATCAATGGTGTTAATTTTGGCTTTATCATTTCTCTTCTTTTCGTGGTTTAGTATCATGGAGGAACAAATTTTGGTCGAACTTCAGGTGGGCCATTCATTACCACAAGTTATGATTATGAGGCACCAATTGATGAATATGGATTACCTAGGCTTCCAAAATGGGGGCACCTTAAGCAACTTCACAGAGCCATCAAGTTATGTGAGCATATTATGCTCAACAGTCAGCCAACTAATGTATCACTGGGTCCTTCCCTAGAGGTATATTTTATCGTAGTATTTGACTACATCTTTGCTAGATATTAATCATTTTTTTTTTGTATATAAATTTAGTTATCAAATGAAAGTTAAAACTAGTTATAAGCTCGGTGTATGTAATTCAGGTTATTGTCCTCGGCACTAAAACATGTTTAAAGCTTAGTATTTGACCGACTTCATCTTCAAGATCATAAGATATGTTCGAATTAATTTGATATTCTGATACTGACATATGCAAGAATTGCTATATGGTTCTTGTAAGTGGATCTGTTAAACCTAAATATATGCAGTACCATCTCATTGCTGCATATAATTTTTTACTGGAAGTTTTAATCTCTAGTTCCGCCTGTTTATGCTTCTGCTTGACTGTGGGGAACCATTACTGAACAGTATGCTATGTTGTAGGCTGATGTCTTCACCAACTCTTCTGGAGCATGTGCTGCCTTTATAGCAAACATGGATGACAAAAATGACAAGACGGTAGAATTTCGAAACATGTCATATCATCTTCCAGCATGGTCGGTTAGCATACTGCCAGACTGCAAGAATGTAGTGTTTAATACAGCAAAGGTAACTTCTAAGTTTCTGATGCCTGCATTCTATCAAGGTAACTTAGTTTTAAAAGTTTGTATGTTTAGCTCATCTTGTATTCAATGATACATGCATGTATCACATGTATCTCTATATGTAGAGATACAATTTAGATCTTAGACATACAGGATGTTGTTCAAACTTCAAGTCAGGTGGTTTAAATGGCAGGTCACTTTAATTTTTACATTTAGATCTTAGTGTTTATGCTGTCCTGTATCACGAACCTATCATCCTAGTAAAATGATCCAAACCGTCTAACTATTAAATCTCCATTCAAGGTTCATCCTTGTCAAGAAATCAACCAAATATGAAGATATATAATCATTTTATTACCATCATGATGACCCTTAAACAGAGATTTGAAAAACAGACAGTTCAGATCATTCAAATATAATGCAAAGATATTTCTGCTTTTCTAGAAAATGGAGACCCCTCCCTAGATGCTCGCTTTATATGTCTACATATGTGTGCTCCCATTCATGGAGAGGAAACACTGAAACAATGAAGCAGTATGTGTGTGTCCACGCACGAGCGCATACATAGAGAATATATAGAAAGGAAACAATAGAACAATGAAACAGTATGCAGATGGAAATGATATGAAAATGATATATTGTCGTTCTTGGGAGTGGCCCTAAACATTGCAAATTGTTCTCTAACTGGTCTGGTTTACTGTTTACATGATAGACTAGTAAGCTGGCATGCTCTACAATTTATGGCATAAATGATGGTAGAGAGTTTGAAATAAAACTCTCTTGTACTGATATCTACCTTATCAAGAAATTTTCCATTGATTTATGAGTCCTCGAGAAATGATATGCGAATAACTGCTGATGGAATGGTGATGACATATTGTACTAGACCAACGATCTACATTACCTTATCAAGAAATATTCCCTTGATTTCTGCGCTCTTTACAAGTGATTCACAAATAAATAGTCATGACATATGCCCCTCTAACTTTCCTGAATTTTTTTTATCACTTTAGCTTTGAATTAGGGTTTACAATTCAACTTGAAATTTTCCAATAGGTTGGATCCCAGAGCTCTGTAGTTGAAATGTTACCTGAGAGTTTGCAGCTATCAGTGGGATCAGCGGATAAAAGCTTGAAAGATCTGAAATGGGATATATTTGTGGAGAAAGCTGGGATTTGGGGTGAAGCGGACTTTGTAAAAAGTGGCTTGGTAGATCACATTAACACAACAAAATTTACGACGGACTATCTTTGGTATACAACAAGGTTTGTCTCTGCTCATTCGGAAAAAAATAACGGCATAGTTTACCATCTAAAGTCATTTTCTCTAGGATTTTCTGAATCAAGTAATTTCTTTGACTCATATGATTCTTTTAATGGCAGCATATTGGTCGGTGAAAATGAAGAGTTCTTAAAGAAGGGAAGCTCGCCAGTTCTTCTAATTGAATCAAAGGGTCATGCTGTCCATGCTTTTGTGAATCAAGAGCTCCAAGGTTATTTTTCTTGTCTAAATGACTTATGGTCAATTTCAAAATGAAAGCTTCTATGGACTTGCTTCTTTTTCTGTTTAAGTCATACCTGATCTGCAGGACTAGGTATTTTGATGGTACGCTTATGCTTGTAAAAATAATTTGTGGCTGAATTGAGGCAGAAGTTTGTGACTTTTTCTTATTTCATGCAGACGTCTCATAAATTGAGACAGAAGTTATTGTTGAGGATATAACAATCTTACATAGGTTATTCTAAGTGTTTCATTTCAGTAAATAAGCTCCTGGGTCTCCCGCCTTTGGCAGTTGGTTCTGGGTTGGATGCTCCAACTATAAACGGTTATTAAGAGGTCAGGCCCCATTTGGCCACATGTCTGAGCCCCGTGTTTGGCCTAGTCTATCACATTTTGGGAGTGGGGTGGGATATTCATGGTGGGAATATGAAACTCCCACCTCTGATATTAAAACCATTGCATTTCAAAGAACCCTAAGCATCTCCATCCATTTACCAATTCATGTTTAATTAGATGCTCCATCTTTAACTACACGCTTACAAAGTATAGACTGTTGAAAACAGATCTGTGCGATTAGATTTATGAAGCAGTTTTTGGTGCATGTCTATCTCATTTGTGGGTGCTACATTACTGCCATCCAGTATTCTACATATTCTGGTGCATTGTTCTGGTTACCTCCATGATTAGTTGACGTTCTAGTTAATTTTGTTATTTGTTGACAGTGTTAATTTACTAAATCCCACAGCCGGAGTCATTTAATTCTAAATCCTTTTTGGACTACCTCTTGCTAATAAATGTCTTATATGCTTGATGTTCAGCTAGTGCAGCTGGAAATGGCACGCACTTCCCCTTCAAATTAAAAGCTCCCATCTCTCTTAAGGAGGGGAAGAATGATATTGCTCTACTAAGCATGACAGTTGGTCTGCAGGTATAGTTGTCTTCTGTCGTGTCTAATTTCCATGATTTATTCAATGTTAACTGTCAGTTGAGACTGTAGTGTAAACCACTTTCATCTGGTGCACCACGGAAAACAACTACGAGTATACACAGGTGTATTATTTGAATACATGACTGCAACTCCGGTTATTTTGTTAACTTAATAATTTTTGAATTGGAGCTTCTGACGAGGAGTCCTCTTTGAGGAGCTCGCTTATAATGCGGTTCAATAGTCCAGGGCATCTCCTTTTTAGGTCCCTTTCAAAAATCAATCTAACAAAATATCTTTCAAATTGGAGAACATTTTGTAGGATTTTCTTCAAGAGTCATCCCTACAAAATCCGCAACTATTTATTCGTCTAATTGTTGTCAAATATACAGACACATGGTGTTGATAAACATTGATATGATCGTGATGGTAATCACATGGATAAATGATTTTTTCATGTACTGCTATCTTACATGGAAAACCTAAAGGGAAAAAAGACATTTCATACATTGGACCACATTGATGGATGGGCCTCCATAATATGATCTTTTTTCACCGAATGAACATCAATACAGGTTTCCGTATTGAGTGTACTGGTTGAAACTAGTTGGCTCCTTACCAACCATCTATGTACCTTGTTTCCAACATTTTCAACAGCTTATTGATCTTTTCTCCATGCTTTTAGAACGCAGGATCATTTTATGAATGGGTCGGGGCAGGGCTAACTAGTGTCAAGATTCAGGGATTCAACAATGGGACAATAGATTTGTCAGCGTATAATTGGACCTACAAGGTATTTTCTCCCTTTTTATATCTTGTGTTATTGTCTTTTTACTGCTTTAATTGGAGCGAACACAGCATAAACTGCAACCTGTTAATATCTTACAAGGGTCTAAAATGTGGTTGCAGCCCATTTTAAATTTTTAACTGACTCACCTTAATTTCTTTCTTCCATTTCCAGATCGGATTGGAAGGGGAGCATCAAGGTCTTTACAAGGAAGAAGGTTTCGGTAATGTAAATTGGATTTCAGCCTCAGAACCTCCAAAGGAACAGCCTTTGACATGGTATAAGGTGAGCACTTGGATTACCCGACATCTCTTATGTATGACAATAACCAATTACTTGGTTTGAACACAGCTGTTTACTAGAGGTAATGGAGAATAATTGATTACTCGAAATATTGCAGGTTATTGTGGACCCTCCACCGGGTGATGATCCCGTTGGTTTGGATATGATTCACATGGGAAAAGGTCTAGCTTGGTTAAATGGAGAAGAGATTGGAAGATACTGGCCTAGGAAGGGCCCTTTACATGGATGTGTTAAAGAATGCAATTACAGAGGCAAATTCGATCCAGACAAATGCAATACAGGGTGTGGAGAACCAACGCAAAGATGGTAATATAACATCGGAAAAAAATCATTACACCTTTTGTTTTTGGAAGACAATTATTTTTTGAATCTGTTTCAATTGCTGCCAAAATATTTTTACACCAGACAGATGTACATAAATGTTCCGTGACCTTTATCAGATCTTAAAATGAGAAAAAGGAGAAGCTCAGAACTCGAGAATTATGTATTTGAACTAATGTTACCAGGATACGATGACCATCAAGCACAGGCATGAATACACACACATAAGCAAGATTGTATATACGTACATGTGTATGTATCAGAACATAGGCTTTGGAATCCTTTCGCAAATTTTCAATGCCATTTTTCTTTCCAAAAAAAACATAACTATGGTGTTTATGGTTTAGAGACTTCACTTCGATGTGTGGATACGAACCCACAAAATACAAGTATCATGCTTTGTTTCCCCTTGTCAACAAGTTTGTACTTTTTTATGTGCTCAATTCACGAAATATTTTACAGTAATGAACTTCGATCTTCATGGTGTTCTCAGTTCTTTTCTTCTAAAATTAATGAGACGAAACTGCATGATGCAAACTGACATCTCTATTGTTTGTCACCATGAAAAACTCACCTCTTACTGTTTCTGGACCAGGTACCATGTTCCACGGTCTTGGTTCAAGCAATCTGGAAACGTACTGGTGATATTCGAGGAGAAAGGTGGAGATCCATCCAAAATTGAGTTCTCAAGGCGGAAAATCACTGGTGTGTGCGCTCTTGTAGCAGAGAATTACCCCTCTATTGACCTTGAATCTTGGAATGATGGAAGTGGAAGTAACAAAACCGTTGCAACCGTCCATTTAGGTTGCCCCGAGGATACACATATTTCAAGTGTAAAATTTGCCAGCTTCGGGAATCCTACAGGCGCCTGTGGGTCCTATACACAGGGCAACTGCCATGACCCTAACTCCATTTCTGTGGTCGAAAAGGTAAGCACATCCAACTCCCCTTTATGTGAGTTCAACTGGAATTATAGATGTGTCCAATTGAGTATTTGTTGTCATTGTTGGGGAGGATTTCCTATTCCAGTAAGCTTGTCAGCACGCTCGCTAACATTTTTACAAACCATCTTTAATTCAAAACTTGTCATCAAGTTTGATTACATTTTGATAGCATATAATTTAGAGGTTTTTGACAGTTAGCCCACCCCAACCAGCTTTAGATACAGTGTTTCTTCAACTTTAACCTTACCTAGTACACAAAAGTCGTATTTCTTTAAATCAATTCAAGTCATTTGGACCTTAAATTTAGGTGTTCTTCGTTGTCCATAAATTGTTCGGTTTTTTTAGTTCCTTTTGAACATTACTGGATCAACCATTACCTTACATAATCTCATGTAATATAATTATCGGCATTTATACGACTTGAGTCTTTACAGACAGTTTCCTAACCTGCTTTCTACTTATTGCAGGTCTGCTTGAATAAGAACCGATGCGACATAGAATTAACAGGAGAAAATTTTAATAAGGGTTCGTGTCTGAGTGAACCAAAGAAGCTTGCAGTTGAAGTACAGTGCAACTGAAATTTTGAATTTTTATATTTCAACTTTGGAAAGAAAGAGGAGAGAACTTGCTACTTTGTCATATTACAGTTTTATTATATTTTCATTGCTAATTGCTATACAAGAATGTAGCAGGAAACACAACCGATATATCCAATTTTATTGAGAATTTGAAAGAGGCATCTGCTGTGTGCTTATTGATTTGTTTGCTTGACAGTGAAAACGAGAACGAATCGAACGATATTGCTCGACTGTTTCATTGTACTACCAACTTTTGTAAAGTGGATTTGATTTGTTCTTTCAGGGGAAGCAAAACTGTTTGGTGTGGCTCTTCATAGCCGATAGCCCGAATTTGAATGGTTGAGCACGAGGGAAAAGAAAAACTTCTTAACAAATATATCATCTGTTTGAATCGGTATGACTAATCGGTGAACATCCAAACTGCAACTTTTAGCTACAGAGACTGAATATCTGCATTCTCCTCGGACTTCCAATTTTGAGAGTCAATCTAGTCGTCACTGCCAAAACTTCGACATGTACATGGAATTAGATGGGTAGGAGGATATGCAGTTCCAATCTTTGCAAGATTGGTAATGCTGGCAAGCAACTTGAAAATGGACGATTTTATTTGGAGAAAGCAAGAAGGCCAATTTGCTTGGTTGCCTTCCTGTGGATTTGTAATATCTGTTCGGTCTTCCCTTCTTCTCCTCCTCCCGACTTCTACCCAGTTATTTGGAATACATTCGACTATGCACCTGCTGGTTTGAGTGTGGGATTGGGGCTAATAATGCTTTGGTGGATGTTGGATGCAAGGAAATGGTTCAAAGGACCTGTTAGAAACATTGAAACTGATAACGGAAAGGTAATTTACACGCGCGCGCACACGAACACTTGCGCACAGATTGTATATACATATCAGACAAATTTATGCCATAATTAAGACGAAGTTGACAAAGTCTAGTACAAAATTAAAGACTTAAAGTAAAAATTTTAAAGTTTAAACATCTATGCGTATGCATTGCATAGCCTTCCAGTATGCAAACTAGGGAAGTAAATAAGACCCATCTCTAAGACTTTGGAATTTGAAGCTGGACGTGACGTACCTGCGATCTCAGATCTGCCAACTCTTGCAGCCATTTCATGTAGCTTGAGTTCTTTGCCATAACGTCTTTAGAGACCTCCTTTCTCTGGACCAAACCGGCTGCATAGCTGTCGAAGTTATTGATACTTTCCCACAGAGAATGTAGCTTCCTTGTATCAGTCTCACTTCTAAAATTAGTAAGCCATTCCCTAGCTTCCTCCACCTTTGCCCAGAAGCACGAATCCTGAGTCAAACCTGCAAACTTGCTTCTGCTTCTACTTTGCTTCTGATCGTTGATGCTTCTCTCCTTCCACCATCTGTCGAATATTTCAAACCTCCTCTCTCTTCCATGCGCCAAGTAATGACCCTTGACATGGTGCATTCCAGTTCTATAGTACTCTGCGATGTCCAATGGCTCAACGAGGAGCATGTAAAACTGGGATGCATTTACCCATTTTGCTCGCCTGTGAAAATCGTGAGGCAGCTCATTTGTCTCCATCATTTTTATCACCCCATCCCAAAATGCAGCAAGCATGAGGCGGTTCATGTTGACCCTGTTACCCTTTTTTGAGGAGCCCCTATGCTTGAAGGCGTCATAGTACCCCAGTTGCTCACCAGACTCGTCGCAGGATGCCATGTACCACTCGATTTCAGCTCTGTGAGGCGTGTACTTGGAGAGCCGAACAGCTAAATTAGCACAATTCAAACTTGGGGTACGTCCTAATCGCCTTGCTATCTTTAGGCACTCTTTCGCAGGTGCGGCAGCTGGTTCCTGAAATTCATTAATTCAACATATACACATGAGATGAACGGATGAAAAAAGGTTCGGTTCATTTCCCAAACGAAACACACATACGTGGCTATTTATTCCTAAGGACTGTAATGCCAATGCAACCCCTGCTTCGTAGCTTGATTCTGGAAGCTCATCCTGCTGCATGAAGCTTGTCTTCAGAAACTGTGAAGAAATCTTGTCAACATAATCTCCGTAGTTGAGATGATCCTGGATACAGCACATTGGATTAGCTTCAGCTGGCATAAACATCAAATGCATCATTGTCATCACAGACACTGCATTCTCCACACACACAGCGCCCTCTTGTGAGCAAAACAAGTAGCTCCCAAATGGACAATACGACATGTTGCTGCTGCTTTCTCTCTCTTCTCCTTCTTGCAATGATGACGCACGCAAATAAGCTGACACGAAGCTGGATAGTGCAGCTTTCTCTTCGTCGCGCAGTTGAACATGAACACCAAGATTTCGAAAGTGCTGAAAGCATTGTAGTAAGAAATGCAGTACTTGAGCGCTGCATGATTCAATTGGAGCAAGGAGTAGTCTTGGCATGATGTCGTACTTGGAAACTACGTGGAAAAAATTGCCACCCCATCTTTCTCGGAGGATTGCTCGCGAAAGGGAGGCATTGCCGAGCAATGGTGATCCAAAGGTAATGCAAAGGACTGAAGGGGTGGAAGAGACAGATTGGAGGGAAGAAAGGAGCCAGAGAGCACAGAGTGAGGCAGTTGTTCCTCCTATAGAATGGCCTGTGATCACAATGGACTTGCTTTTCTCTGTTAGGGCCGACATCTGCACCACCATCAGCAGCATTTGTATGTCACTTGATTCTATAACTTGTAGTGAGCGGACCAATATGGTACATTAATCAATATACCCTACTAATCAAATTTGCAGTTAAAATTTAACATAGAATGGATAATATTTGATTCATTTGACGTTCCGTTGGTGAAGACCAAAGATCAATTGGCAGGTATTATTATTAAGGGTATCTGGCACAAGCAGAACGTTTTGTAACTCACTTGGCAAGTTGAACATTTATGGATATAAAGAAATGAAGATTTAGATATTGAGTGCCCATAAAACATTAGTAGTTAACTTAATAGTTTGACGAATGGAATGGACTAACAATTTGTAATTTTAAGGGTTTTTGCTACTAATTTTAAAATACTTGGTCTAATCTTACCCTCGAGGAGGAAAGCTGCTCTTGCTTTTGTTCTCTTTGCTCTTTAGAAAAGGCCTTAATAACTAGATGGACTAAGCTAAGACATGAAATGTTCATTGACTTATTGAACTAAAGTAATCTTTTTCCTATGTTTTTTTTTTACAAGCTTTAAATGATTCCCAAAAAAATAAAAAATAAAAAAAATATTTTATTTGATTGTTTTAAACACTAAAAAACAAAAGAAAGCCATACGATATCTAGTTGTGTGCACATCCTTAAGTGTTGATTACCCGATAACGCCTACCACACTTAAGGTTTTTTCTATGCTTTCATACTCCAAATCATTACCTTAATTACAAAAGAAAGATTGAATTTGGTTGGTCAAACTCTTATTGTCCCCAATATTAGCAGTAGAATCACAGCAACACTAAGGGCGTTTTTGCTTAATAAAATAGGAAAATGAAGGAGTCTGGAGAACTTAAAAATAGAGTAAGAAATAAATTTCAAATCAACTAGAGTTGATATTATTCTTGAATTTTTAGTATTAGATTACGGATTTTAAAGAGAAATTCAGACTTTTCCAAATTTATATGTGTTAACATGAGAGGGAGCTAAGAAGTGAGTCTTCAAACTCTAATTTTTTTGTTGTTGTCAAAAGTCTTCAAATTCTAATTTAAGCGAACAAAAAGAACTTAAACATCAAATTGAAGAAAGATGGAGTTTGTTTGATTGGCAATTTGTTGACGGAAGAGACGTGGAAGTGGGAAAGCAATATATTATGCGAAAGCTAAGCCAGTAAGCCTTAGGCAGTCAACACGTCTCTTGCGCAAAAGTTTAAATGTGCTGACAAAGGTACTTAGCTTACGTACAAAAATGCGCTGGCGACACGCAAATAATAATAAAAAGATTTAACAAAATACTTTTGGTACTGTTCATTTTTAATGGAAAATTATATGTATATATTTTTCTGATACTATTTATTATACCTTGAACAAGGAATTTTCATTAAAAGAAAAGTTTTTTTGAACATTCCGTTAGTTTTCTTATAATATAATGATGCAAGTGTTGTGTTGCAACAAACAACCAGCCGTATGCCCAGAAGTTCGACGACTGTTTGGTTTGAGTTTCTGAAGCTCCAACTGCAATTCAGAGTCCAAAAATGTATATTGTTTGTTTGGCAGCCATGTCATTTCACTAATTTCTATTTTATTTTTGTTTTAAACTTAAATTGTTTGGGTTGTGATTTCTACATATTTTCTCTCCTCGATCTCTGATTTTTCATTTATTACCCTCTCAATTCATAACCAAAACAAAAAGTGAAAGAGTAATACTAGGTAGATCAAAATCTTACATTAAATTTGCAAATATTTGTGTCATTAATAGGAAATAAGCACGTTAATCGACGCTTAACTAATAATTCAATCATCAACAACTATATCATTTAGTTTGCAAATTTGATTTAAAAAATCTAGCATCCCAAACACCATCCAAAGTCAAAATGTTAATTACCGAGTTGGAACTTAATTATCTTTTCACACTCGAAAAATGTGTTAATTAAAAGAGAAGTTTTGATGTAGACAACTGAATCGAATTTTAACTTGAATGAGGATCCTCTTTGGATCCTCACATCGTGTTCATTCATCGTACATCGTGGGATTAGCTTTCGTCAGGTATTGTTCATGTTTAATTGTAAACAAAAATATTTAAAATAATTTCTAACTGCACGATGTACGATAAACATACACGATTTGAAAATCCTTAAGACCCTCACAAAGAGAATCCAAAAAAAACATCCACACAAAAAAAATCTGAAAAGGATCCTCATTTTTTAACTTGTCTAGTGGTTGTCATGCAGAGGGAATATAATCAATATATCTTCACGGCCATAGCGAAAAAGCCTAAAATTATATCGACATCAGTGGGTTGGAGTGGGGCACTGGTAAAGGTAGAATTGTTAAATATTGGTGAGCAGGGGCTATATATAAGTAAAATCTTGTTCTAATGGTGTAGACAAGTAACCACCAAATTTTGCGTAAGTAATCCTAATTATCAGGATGATTCATCAGCTTTCTATCAGTTGTAACATGAAGAACATGCCTTAGCTTATGGGTAAGATAAAGAAATAAGTGTGTTATACTATTTATTATTACCGAAAGCTTTGGCTTCTAACCTTTCGCACAACTCAATCTTACTTACTAAGCAAACGTAGGTTTGGACTCGAAAGCAACAAAACAACGGATTAAGAACTCACTCTAAAGCTTATTTAGTTTACCTAGCCTATTGGAGCAATCAATTTTTGTATGAAGATTGAGTAGTTAACATGTCACAGAAGTCCGTATGGTGCAATTTTGTCTACTTAATTTGCCTATACCAACATAGATGCTCTAAAATTGTCTAGATTTCTATTTTTTAAATTTTATCAAGGATTCAGCGTTCTTGATTTGTTTCAAAAGATCCAGAGGGAAAGAGAAATTAAAGTTTCTTCACTTTCTATGACTGCAAATATGATCATAGCTTCCTTTCCTTAACTTCCTCCTTTTCACACCCCCTTTGTACTCCCGAAATGTTTTCTCAAAAGCTATACAAACCCTTTTGTACTCGATCATGACCAAGCAAAAAGCAAAGTCTTCGACAGTTAGAAATCACCCTTTCATACTGATCTGCAAGTCCCAAACGTTCTATTAATTTGTCACCCAAATAACACTTCTTTGTCCCTACAAATTAATTAGCATCTAAGACTCCTTTAAACTAACCTAAACCGTTTACTCGGTTTAAGCTACCTAACATGCACTTATGATGGCTTTAGGGCTTGGTCAAAAAACGTTTTTTAGGGATTAAGTCAAGGTCATCTGCATAATCCAAGTCAACGGTTTGATTATATTATACGCTTCCAGAAGCACTTGCAGGGGCCAAATTGGCATGATCTAACTAGATCAGATGGTTTAATGAGGAAAGAGTGAACTACTGTACAGTAGTGCTAATTTAATAGACGCTAAAAAAACTTTTACAACTTGTCACAATTGGCTTGAAATTAACTTAATTTGGTTAAACCAAGACCCTTATTCAATTTCATTATATTATATAGATATAGTAATTGGTAGCTTAATATGACGCTAAAAAACTCTTACAACTAGTCACAGTTGCCTCAAATTAATTTGATTTGGTTAAAACAAAACCTTGTTCAATCTCATATATATACGGGAGCTTGAAAAGGGTTTGGTGAAATTTATTTTAACCAAAAATCATGCTATAACTTTATTTAATTAAAAAAACTTAAATTTTAATGAAAAATCTTTAAATTTTAATAAAGAGAACAAAAGAACTTAAATTTTAATGAAAATGACACAATTTTAATATATAAGAAAATTGACGCATGGGATCTGCGCCTGAACAGTACTATATTGTTTATGAAACTTAACAATACTTCACTATTTATGAAACTGAACAATACTATACTATTTATGAAATTCAAATTCAATGGTACTACACTATTTATTGGTCCAGATTCATAAATAGTATCTAGTTTTTTGTTCACTTTCATAAATAATGCCTAGTTATTGGGTCCTATTTCATAAATAGTGTATACAAATTGGTATAGTTCATAAATAGTGCCTAGTTCTTGGTCGAGCTTCATAAATAATGCCTAGTTCTTGGTCCACTTTCATATGTAGTGCCTAGTTCTTGGTCATGTTATTTCATGTTTTATAAATAGCGTCTAGTTCTTGTCCAGTTTCATAAATACTATATAATAATCGATACAGTTTTATAAATAGTATCTCTTTCTTGGTCTAGTTTTATAAATATTGGCTCGTTCGTTTTCATAAGCAACTATTTTTAATTTCATTAACTATTGGAATTCCCAAACCTTTCCACCCATTTTTCCCTCCTCCAAGACACAGACAAGAACAACTAAATTATCAATTTCTTGCAAAATGATCACAACTGACATTTGTCGATTCCAATATACTTGCAAAATGATCATAACTAAATTATAATATTCCAAAATGGTGGAAACCACACAAGGAGAAAAAGATGGATCATGATTCAGCAGCAAACTTCATAGGATTGACTTGCCCAGTCATTGTATGCTTTTCGCGTTCGTTTTCAAGCTGGCTGCAATTTCCTCTAGTGGTGTGCAGCAAATGTTGGAGATGACGGGGAGAGAGAAGTAAAAGGGTTGGTGTGCTCACGTGCTTTTAGTTTGGGTTTTTTTTTTTTTTTTTTTCTCTCTCTCTCATATCCTTACTATTAAAACTATTAAATAAATTTAATAGATGATTTTTAGTTAAAATTTAAAATTTTGAAGTCTTTTTCACTAGTTTCAAGTATGTGTGTGAAATTTTTTATTTTTGTTTTTTAAATTGAAGGAGAAAGAGGAAAAGAGTGAGAGAGAATGTGAGGGAGGGAGAGAGTTTTATTTATTTATTTATTGTTTATTTTAAAAAAAATTAGAGATGTTAAAATCATCTGTATGTGAGGATCAAACAAAAAACAACAAAATTTTGTTTTGTGAAATTACGTTACTGCCTGTAACTTTTTTGTTGTGATAGAAAACTAAATAGTATTTTTATTATTTTTGGTTGGCGAGAGAATTCTATTAATACGTAGTTTATATATATATATATATATATAAACACATGCGGTTAAACCAATGACCCTTATTCAATTTGGTTAAAACTCATGATTTCTTAGACATCAATTTAATTTGGCAAAAAATTCCACCCCTAGGTAGGGATATGCATGCAACAACACAATGTCATCCATATATGTAAGATGACAAAACAAGAGGATTCAGTCACATTACCTTAGCATCAACACCAAAAATAAATAAATAAGAGTAAAATAATTAAAAGGAAAAGAATATACGGATGAATGGATGATATATCTGACCTGGTCTTGGAAAGTTTGGGAGCAGCGCAGAGACACGAAGAGCTTGAGCAGCCCTGCATGCACCATGACGGCCTCTTCCTCTCCATTAATAATATTATTATGATTATTATTGTTGTTGTTGGATAATGGTGGAAAAAGGCCGTGGCCGGCGTTCTCCAACGCTACCAAATTTCTGAAACTCAAACATTGATCTTCTTCTCCGGATAAAGCAAAATATCCGACGTCTCCGATTTGATGGGATACGAAAGCAGCGCCGGGAGTGGTGTTTGCTACGCTGCATAGCCTCCATGACTCAATCAGCAAGGGAGTCGATGCCAAGAAACTCGCAACTGTCTCACTGCTCTCAAACCTGCACAATTAATTATACTGTTATATATATATATGGATACATATATTTGCGTGTATATTATATATTCATCATACAGTTCGGAAAATAGAGGTGATCGATGAAAAAAAAGCAATCGAGTAACTTACGGTGAAGCTTCGGCATCCATGGACTGACTAGCAAGAAGTTCTTCTTTTCTTATTTTTCTTCTTTTGGGGTCTTTAAAGTGACCGGCCAGAGTTTGAATGGAATTTGAATACATATATACATACATACATATATATATATATATATATATTTTTTTTTTGTTACTTATATATGGGTCGTTTTTTAAAAACCATATATCTAACTCAGGTTATATATCTTAACCAAACCATACTTGTTCATTAGTATATACATATCAAATATTGATGCTTAATTTTATAATTAACCAATGGGATATAAAGTGGTAAGGAATTACTCTAATCTCAATTATTTTGTGGGGGGTTGGTGTGGAGTGGGTATGTTGTGTTTGTCGTGATTATGTCGTTTTCGTGTTATACCCGTTATTTTAATGGGTTGTGTCGTATCAAATTTGTTATCTTAACAAGTTCCTAATGAATGATCCGATAATGACTCAATTCATTAATGGGTCGTGTCATTTCGTGTCGGGTTAACCGATCATGCAAAAATTACTATGTGTAATGTCTAGATTTGAAAAATGATATGTTCGGGTTCTTATCGTGTGATCCGATAATAATCCAACTCGTTAATGAATTCTTAATGGGTGGCTCAACAAGATCAGAATCGTTAATGGATTGACTCAAAACCTGTTATTTTTCATGTCGGGTCAATCGTGAAAAAATTTGTTCGGCCTAGTGTGAGCACTCACAAACGATATTATAATAACAACTAATTAATTAAGTTTACTTAATTGGTTATGCTTATTTTATTCGTGTTGACGGAGTCATTGGAGACTTGGAGTAGAGTAGCCAATTTCTAACACCGCATGATCATTTTTTTGCTGAATTAATTTTTCAATTGGGTCATTTCAATAGGCAAGGCAAGCCCGGGCAGGTTGCGTTTTGACTGGGTGGGGTAACGCGTTATTGTACTACAGTGACTCTTGAGTGATGAGCACGCGGCCACCTCATCGTCACTACGGTCAAACACAACAGGGTGTATTAATAATGGGTGTAGGGATTGCAAAATGCCATGAGTTTGCGTACCCGGATATCTGTCCTTAATGGGGGCGGTTATGGAGGCTATTGGGTGAGTTTGGGTATTTTACTAAAACCACTTAAGTCGGATATGGAGCGGTGATGGTATTGTTATTGTAACAACCAAAAAATTCTAAATGAGAAGCTAAATTCAGTGATAGGCTAAAATAAAATCATGGTTAATCTCTATGCTATTAATCGTAATAAATTTCTTTCCTTAAAAGAAATCCAGCACAATATTAAATTAAGGTTAGTTTATGGTTGCATCTAACCGTCTCGTTAGACTGCCTATGTACCTTACTAAGGGATCAAGTCATTCGTAATTCACAAATTCAATATCTAACTCATTTCCAAAATCATTCAAGTGACTAACAATCACTAAGTTCAAACAAGCAATTCACACCAATTGCATATCAAATATAGATTCAGAATATCGAAATTAGTTAGAAACGCAGCGTCGGCTCACTGTCCACGTGCCGCTGCGCATGGCGGTTTCCGGCGAACGGAAAACCCAAATTCCTATGAACTCCAAAAATTACCAAATTTTATAGGGTTGTAGATTTCAATGAGAGGAACAACTTTCATACCTGGGCTGAAGTCTAATTCGGCAGGGAAGTGGCCAGAAAATCCCTCGAACTGCCGGAACCCTCAATTTGGGTAGTTGTCGATTCGCCACCAAAACGAACTCCGCCGCCTCATCCAAGGCTTGGACCTTTCCCTTGGGGTTGAGAGCAGTCTTTTGGTGGTGGTCATCGACGATGAAGCTCACCGGAGCCATCGAAAAAAGGTTAAAGCCGTCGAATGCACCCGTGGGTTTGTGGCTTCGATTTGTGAATTTGGGTTTGAAACCTAGAGTTCTAACACCACAGGGATGTTGGGCTCGATGAGAGCTTTCCATAGACACTGGAATCACCTCGAATGGATGTCGAACGGAGGAGTTAGAGCCGGGTCAAGGAACAGGATCGGGTCGAGTTGTACGGATCCAAAAGGATCCAGTGCTCATTCACCTCCTTGCTTTCTCCCCCTTCTTCCTATGCCCATTGGTTCTCTTCCCTCCTCATTTTCTCTCCTGCATCCCTCATTTCCCCTCTCTCTTGCTGCCACATGGCAGCTTCCAACCCCATTTCTTTTATTTATTTATTTTTTCCAATAACGAAAACATCTCCAATTTCTTCGTTGTAACTCCATTTCACAAACGGTTTTTGCCTAGACGCTTGTAGGATCGAACTTCATCCATATATGTCAAGAAATATGATAAAATATACGAGGATAAAATACATCCTCGTAAAATTACGTTTAATTAACGATGAGCGTTTTCCACTTATCGGTAAATTTTCTACATTTTCATGTATTTTAAATTTTCTAGGGTATAACAGTTATTCTCAGATTTGAACACAACTTGATTATATACATATATTAAATTACTATTAGAATTCTTATAAGTTATGTTTGTGAGCCCTAGTTTGGCGTTGAGGTGCTTAAAAAAAAAAAGCTGCTTATTTTTTAAGTTTTTATGTTTAAGGTGTTTGGTAAACTGAAAAAAAAAGGATTATTTTGGAAGCTGTGGTGATTGACAACTGAAATTATCAAAAAAGCCGAAGCAGCTCAATGCTGCTTTGGAAAATTGGTTTTTTTTCAAAGCACGTGGAGCTACAGTGCATCTTTAATGAAATTTTCTAAAATCCAATAAAACCCTCGTCATTTTTACAAAATGACAGGCCCTGTCCTTAGTACTCAAACTGGAATCTCTCACCCTCGTTCACCCCTTCGCATCAAAGTAGGACCGCAGCTGTCCTGCCCATTCTCACTCAACACCGACCAACACCACTGCACCAACATTCATCCCTATTCTCCTTCCAGATCTTCCAAATACACAAATAAGAAAAATATTCAATCTTTTTGAGAAACCATTTTTGAAGCATGCGTCAAATTGAAACAACTATGCCACCTTCTCTAATCACCAAACCAGAAACGGCTTCGCTGATCTCTATCGTCCCTCGAACCCAACCCTTTTTTTCTTTAAATTGATTTCTTTCTCTTGCGAGACCCGATGGATCTGTCTCCATCATCCGACGCATGAACCCATAACTTCTTGTTCGGAAGATTTGGAGTTCATCTGAATTTGGATTTGGGTTTTAGAAAGGCATCTTTTGGTATCTAACATGATGGGGCAAAAAGGTTTATGGATTGGAACTAGAGGGATTAGATGTGGAGTTTTTGTCGAGTAAAAAGTGGTTGAATGGGAAAGACGGTGGAGTGGGATTGAAGCTCGCCAAAGAAGCCAACGCCAGAACCTAAAGCCTGCACTTCCTTTTTCTTGACCACCAAAGCCAAAAATAGGAATGGGCTTTATACTGTGCGTTCTGGCTACCACTAGAAGCATGCGGTTTCGACGCCTCTGGTTAGTAGGGTATCTTCCCCCTCTTCCTTGATTCCAACCCGTGTTTGGAGGATTATTTGGAAATCGAGGACCACCCCTCCTCCCCCCTCGCCCTCTGCGGGAAGATTCGAAATTTTATGTGGAGGGCTTTATCTTGTGCTCTGGCTACCATAGAGGATTTGTTTAGGCGTCATTGCTCCCCCTCCCCTTTATGTCCGATTTGCCATGCTCAAGTGGAATCTGTGGAACACTTACTTCTCTCATGCCCGTGGGCTGAACCTATCTGGTTTGGCGGCCCTCTAAACTATCGAGTGAATCGGGCAAGCGTTACAACTCTGGCTGCATGGCTTTCCTCTCTTCTTGGGTCCAACTTGGGTTCTAAGGATGATTTTCTTCAGATTATGTCCTTTGTAGCCTTTACATGCTGGCACATCTGGAAGGCTAAGTGTAACTATGTTTTCAATCACCACATTATCTCACCTCAACAAATCCTTCTGTCCATATTTAATTCTGTTGAAGGCTTTCTGAAGGCCCTTAGAATTCCTGAGGGTAGTTCTCTGAACACTCAGTCGGCTCTTGTCTCTTCGGCTCGTAGGTCCCCCCCTTGTCTTCCCTTCACGAAGTTGAATGTCGATGCTAGCTGGGTTGAGGCTTTTAAATATGGCTTTGCAGGTATTGTGGTTAGGAATCATGAGGGACATTTTGTGGCTGCTAAAAGAGTGCAGATTAAAGCTCCGAATGTTACAGCGGCGGAGGCTACATCGATCTTGTTTGGGTGTGAGTTTGCTGTCTCTTTGGGATTGGATATCATTATTGTAGAGTCTGACTCCAAGGAGAATATCTCCAACTTGGTAAATGTTTCTTCGTCTGGCAGTTGGGAGGCCTTCCCTATCCTAGCAAAAATTTTGCAGCTGAGGGACTCCTTCTAGGACTGCCGCTGGTCTTGGGTTCCAAGATCAGCCAACATGGCGGCGCATCGGTTGGCGTCAAGACGTAATACGGAGATGTGCGATATAACTTGTGTTCATCATCCTCTATTTTCGTTGGTTGGTATTCTCAACAAGGATGGGTTACCCTGTCCACCTTAACTTTTGTTTTGGCAGTGGAGGCGGCGACGTTTTAGCACCTAGTGTAGCGTCATATGTACCCTCCTCCTCTGCCCTATGTTTGCTGCTTTCTTTGTTGCTTGCCTTCTGTGGGCTTCCTTGTTCGTTTGGCTCCAGCCCTGGTTTATTGTTATTTCCAGTTCTTCTTCTTCTTCAAAAAAAAAAAAAAAAAAAAGCTGCTTGATTTTGGGTTCTTGAGAGAGAAGAGTTTGAGAAAGGGATAACTTTGGGCATATCAACAAATACATTTTCATAACTAATTAAAATTTTAAAAGTTGAAATAACTACAAACAAAGGGATAACTTTGTCGTACTAATTAATATTTAAGATAAAGTTTATAAAGATTTATCTTTTAAAAATAAAGTATATTTAGTAATTCACATTTATTTATTAAGAAAATTAAATTAATGGCACATCTAGTATTATACCCTTTTTGGTCATTTTACACAGTCACAACTGTTTTACATAAAAGTTTACCAAACACTATCATACTGCTTTTTTTTTTTTCTTCCAAAGGCACATTTACAAAAAGGTTTACCAAACACTCTGCTGCTTTATTTCACATCTGTTTATTCTCACAGCATAGCAAAAACAATTTTTTTTCAAAGCATAACAATACCAAACAAGCCCTGAGTCGTCTTTGTTGATTGTGCTTGTCTCATATTTCCTTGCTATTGCAATTGTGTGGAATTTGATTTTTCAAGTTATTTACTTTGTTATTAGCTCTTTCTGTTTACATATTTGGGCTAGTTCATTATTGATTAACCTGTGTTGGGGCTAGTTCATTATTGATTAACCGGTCTTATTGCCTCTTGCAAATCTCGATTATATTGCATAAATTTAAGAGAGTTTTAACGAAATATTTTCGGAACTGTTCATTTTGAATGAAAAAGACATATTTACTCTAAAAAGTCACTCATGATACTATTCACTTACAACACATTTTTGTACTTTTGATTAAAAATCAAAATTTTTAAGCATTTTTCATTATTTTTTCTTAAATTTATTGGCAAAAATAATAGTTTAGCAAACGTTTGGATAAGTTTAATTCTCGTGACATGTGAAACAATGAAATATATCATACTATGCCAATCATATTCCTTTAAAACCGGACACCTACTAAACTCACATTCCCTTAAACGTAATGTGAAAAACTCATGAACGAGTAAGACTTTTATTTTATTTTATTGACATTTCTTCATACTTATGTACATGATATTATTGCTAACACTACCAAGGGAAAACATGATGCCCATGAATAGGAGATAACCAATGATGCCTTTGATGAAAAAAAAAACTATTTTACATCTATAACGCAAACGTATAAATTTTGAAAAGTGTTTTTTTGAGTACATCGATATTTTTACACTAAGGTGAGGAGGAGTTCGGCTAAACCACACAATGAGCAGCTTAATTTGATATCAAATTCGTCATTCACAAGATTTGAACCTAAAACCTCTCACTTTTAAATGAAGAGAAATATCAGAAGGCCGTAATAGTGAGTGGCAATGCAAACATATAAATGAATTGCAATCAAGTAAGGTTTATTCGTACACTTCTACGTTTGATCAATACTTAGTGGACTTGAGAGCACCTTGATGTTTATATTTCGTACGTACATTACGCACTTAGTTTGAAATTAACTTTAGATTTCAAATTGTTTGTGTGTTGTGAGGACCAAATCAACAAATGGGCCGATCCCAGAGTTCAGGGTTGATCAGCCCAACACCAAAGGGTTTATTCCATGTTCATGGTCCATGGATGATGAGAAATGAAATCAACCTTTCTAGTTTCTATCTATTACATGAAAAGTGAAAATATTGATATGATTATTATGATAGTTTGTGTTTTTTATATTTATGTGTTGGTTAATATATATATATATATATATCTTCATTAGTTTATATAACTTTTTAGTTTGAATAGAACAAACAATTTAATCCTAAATAGTTTCGCTCTAAATTCTGAATAGTTTCGATTTTATCTGTTGCATCTATTTAAGTGAATAATGTATTTTTTTTTTCATAGTTGAAATTTTAAATCCGCCACTAGTAACATATGATTGATAAATGGAATATATTTGTTTGTCATATTAGCACACTGACATAAATTTAACGAAAAAACAACAGAAAGACCAAATTGGTATGGGAAGTTCATTTTCAGAGATTAAATTGATGATTTTTGTATTTTATTTTAAAAGACCATTTCAATTGGAGGGTTCCAGTTTTCCAGTTTGAGGAACTCTTTTAAATTTTATGGAATATTCCGTGTAAGGGAAAATAAAGGGGAACACACAAAAATTGGCGGGAAAATAATCACACGGGTCTTATTGGGCGAGTTCACACATTGCTCTCGAAACAATTGGAGAACCCCGAAAGCAAAATCGAAGGCGATGAACAAAGGCATGAGCAGAAAACAGCCAGCGCCGCCACAACCGGCCGCGAACCCAGCCAAGCAGCGGGCCACGTCCGCAGAAGAAGAATTCGGCCGCGATGACGTCTTCCTCGACGAAACCCTTTTCGAGACAGAGGCCCGCCACTCTCCCATGTCCTACACTTCCGCCTCCCGAAGCATCGGTCTGTCAGTCTTTTCCAATTTTGCTCGATTCCCTATTTTTATTTATTTATTGTTTTAATTTTTAAAATCTCTTTCTTTATTGGTCGTGAGTTTTCAGCAATTGGAGAGAGCCATAGAGAATTTCTGCCTAATTGGTCCGGGTCGCTGTCATTATCCGGATTTTTGGGGTTACAAAGGAAGGTTAGCTTGTGCTCCTAATTTTTGCTGTGACAATGTTTGGTTGTTGACTGAAAACCTGAATAAATCTGGAATTTTGTATTACGAAAGCATCCGCGTTGTAGTTTTGGTCAATCATGTTGGTTATTTGTTCTCAGAAATGCAACTTTTCCCAAGTATTCTATGTGCTGCACGGGAATCATATATGCTACCAAACTAAACTGAACTAAGATATGCCTTTTTCTGAGTCTTATAAGTTGTCGCATTATCCTAGGACATAGTTCGCTACTGTTTTTATCTTTCCGACGAACTGCTGTTTTTGCCTACCTCCCTGAGATGGTTATGCAATGAGTTTTTTCATATCTTGTTGCAGGGGGTATCTGTCAAAATGGTTGCTGCTGGTGCTGAACATACTGCAGCTGTCACAGAAGATGGGTCCCTCTATGGATGGGGCTGGGGCCGATATGGAAACTTGGGCCTTGGTGATAGGAACGATTGCATGCTTCTGGAGAGGGTTTCTATGGTTAATGTAAGTCTTGAGATCTGGTGCTGTTAATTTTATTCTGATTTGGGCCATCATTTATGATATTAAGTAACTGTGATCTGAAACCACATAATGTTAACAGAAGGGTAAACTTCCATCTACCCCTTGAACCCCCAATATCTCGAAGTAGGGCTTAAGCTGTCTAAACTTAGGCAAAAATGACGGGAAGAAAAAGATGGAATTTGGAGATTTTGGTGGTTGGGCAAGTTGGTGAATAAATAGTCAAATTTTGCCTCAAAAGTGAGCCACGTGCCCATCATGTGACAGTATCTAACGGAATACTGGAACATTGTTAGAAATCTGATGGTAAGCCCTACGTTGTGGTATCTTAACATATTTTATGACCTTAAGGTACAAATACAATTTGCATAATTTAGGGACAATTTACCAGCTGACAATGTAATATCCCGCACCAATGCATATTGTGTTCATTAGATTGTTTTCCTTTCTTTCTGCATCTGTAAATTCTGTACTAAGTTGAAATCACAGAAGAGAATTGGATCTTTCAAAGTGGCGTTGTCTTGAAAGTAGTCAGGGAGGTTCCTAAAGGGTTAGACATTAGGCTTTGGAAGAGAGATAATATGGTGCTTCAGCATCTGTGCCAGGGCTCCACCTAATGGATGTGCTTTGTTGTCTAGGATTGTCAAAGCAGGCTCTTTTTTTATAGGCAACAGAAACACAAATTGCCCCTTTAGCTGGAAAGCTATATGATTAGGCATGATGTCAATGGGGAGTATTGTCCCAGACAGATTTCAAGTGGAAATCTTGTTTTGGAAGGTGGCAGCCCGCCGTAGAATATACCTGATCACTGTACTCTATGGTTCCATCAATGTTTTAAAAGGAGAAGGCGAAGCCAAGGCATTCCATGGATAGTCTCGAGGTGTGAGGGTACCTAAAATTATTGTAATACTTAATATATAATTGTATATAAAAAAATATAATAAACTAATAGATACTAAGTTAGAAACATAAAATTAGCATGAATTTTTAATTTTTCATAAACCCCAACGGTGAGAAACCCTAACCTTAAATTTAAAATTATATGTTTGTTGGGAACTTGTGGGAAATTGACAGGTTAGATTGGAGATTGGCAGCGTTGGCTTGAGACTGGGAATTTTGAAGTAAAGAAAGGTGGGAGAAGACAAAAGAGTTTTGAGTTTTATAAAAACCCTGCCCAAAACGACGTTGTTTTGGGTTTGGGCTGTTTAAAAAAAAAAACAAAAGAATTCAAGCACCTAGGTGACGCCTGGACAACGCCTCAGGCTCGCTTCCCAACGCCTAGGCTCGTCTATAGCCCATTCTTGCTTGGCAGAGGCGTTTTCTTCATATCCCCGACCAGGCTAGTCTTAATACTAGTTTTTTAAAACGTTGGGTTCCATATAGCATCCTTAAGTGAATGGCTTACCCAAGAATAGTTTATTATAACTATTATTCTTAAGGGATCTGCTTATAATAAAGTATAGAACATTAAGGGTTTATTTTGAATTTATGCTACAACAGTGGGACCAAAAGGTATGCATGAGCCTATCACTTATATGAGGTGGAAGACAATCGGTGAACTTCCTTTGTTTGGGCATTTCTGTGTTTTCTCTCTGCTGAAATCTATATGAATTACACTGTTTGCAGCTTTAGCACGGTAAAACTTTAGTTTGATTTAGTGTTGTGCTTTAGAGTAAACTTTGAGTGTTGATATAGGTGCAGGCAAGTAGTCAAACCACATACAAAGTTTGGTGTTCACGTTCTTTGATTGTATTCCTAAATTTGTATTGGATGTGCAATTATATGTTTGAATATTTTTCCTGGAAAATATTGAGATAATTGAAAAAAATAAAATTTGGCTGGTGCTGAATGATGTCCATGCCATTGTTTTTAACGAATTCCAATTATGTGTTATCTAATCATACTGCATGGAGCTTACCGGACAAATATAGAATGGAGAGTAATGAAATGGTTTGGGCAGCAAGAGTTGAATGGGTGAAAGTTAAATCTGCAGGATGGTGCTGTAGGCTTGGACAATTCTTCAATATTCTAGTTTCTTCAGAAATAGGTATTTAGTAAAGAGGTGTCAATTGTATAAGTTAATGTACAACTGAATACGCTCCACATTCAGACAGTAACCCTCTCTTTTAGGATGTTTGGAGACCTGACCACTCCACAGTAGTGCCCAACACATGCATCTCAAACTATATCTGTCTCTTGTTCCTTGCTACCTGAAAAAAACAAAGACTAAAGCAGTACACTGTCTGTGCGTGTGTGTGTGTGTGTGTGTGTGTCTGTTTGCACATAATTCTGAATGTGGATCATTGAACTTATTTCGGGAAATATATTTCATCTGCTAGATTATGCACTGATTCATGCTAATTGACATATGAAGCATTGTTAGAGTAATTGGCGTTGGATAGAAATTCACTTGGATATGACAGATGCAACTGTTTATTTGCAGTCCTTAATTTCACTTATAGAAACTCACATCTGACAGAATATAAAAACTCACATCTGACAGAATACTATACGGCTGGGGTTGGAATATGGTTTCTGGTTTCTGTTCCCTTATTTTCACTTATAAATAATTTTTCCTGGTTCATGAATCATTTTTCTTTTCCTTTCCCTTCTAAGCTTTTACTTTTCTGTCACTTCCATCCTATTAGCGAGTCAATTCCTCATTTCCCTTCTGGTTCGTTACTTACGTTTTTCTATTTCATGGACAGTTTGGACAAGTTGGAGTGGGTGACAACATCGATCCCTGTTCTCCTGTGCAAGTTAAATTTCTCCATGAGCAGGTACATTCTCATTTCTGTAATATTCAGTTCGGTGGAGATTATCTTCTTTTGACTTGTCATCTGGGAGAATTATTTTGGTAATGATGAATCTAATGATCCATCTTGCATTGGCAGAAAGTAGTTCAAATATCTTGTGGATGGAGACACACTTTTGCTGTTACTGAAAGACAAAATGTGTTCTCCAATAGTGGCAAGGCGATAGACAAGATGGAGAGAATCGTGCTCATCAGGCCACGAAATCATGTGTCGGAAAGATGATTTCGTGATCACCTTCATTTAAGTTATTAAGCTCCCTGATTTTATGTAAATATTGATTCCTTGTGCAAATTGTCAAAGCTTGTATAGCCTTTGTATACCTGTATAAATAGTGCCATATACTGAGATAAATGGAAATCATCCAAATTCAACAAAAAATGTGTGTTCTCTATTTTATTTCCCTGCACTGTTTAACCTTTTACAAGTCTCTCTGCAACCAGAGACCAGGCCAGGGTGGCCTTCAAGTATACGAGTTTGAGTATGAAGTCGATAGTACAAGATTAAAATACTTTTTATGCCATGAGCAAAGTTTTAAGGGTAGATACAATTAACTGCAAGGTGATACTTGTAGCAATGATTTTATGATAGCAATTGAGTGATCACACATTGTCCGACCTACAAAGTGTGTATAAGTTTTTAAATCTTCAGAAAACCCTTCCAATGCCTCAATATACAAAGATGGACACTATGATTCAAACGCTAGACATGTTCCCTCGGTACAAGAAGTTCATATTCGAGTACACGAAAGAAGTTTGAGCTTTTGGAGTTGTGCTGGTTGAGAGGTGGATGGTTACTAAGGCAACTCGTTGTGCGTCTGCCGCCACTTGGCCCATAGAAAGACAAACAGGCCAATCACACTAACGCAGCCTCCCACAATGCTGAAATCAAAGCAAGGTGTTCATTTATGTATTTTTTTGTATAGATGAAATGAACAAGAAATATGTAGTCACCAAAAACTCAAATTCTTAATCAACGGCAGCACCACCTGAGAAGGGCAAAAGCTAATAAGTTTTATGTGTATTTCTATTTGAAAGAAATCCCAAATTAGAGTAGTATTTTTAATAGATTGTGATCGTTTTATGTTTGTGTCGGGCTAACCTGTTGTATATCTAGAAGTATATATTTAAAGAAACAAAAATTTAGGAACCCAAATTGCATTTCATATTAACTATTTACACCAATATCTAACCCATTGATTTGTCTCATTTTGATAGTACATTTGTGCTCATTTTATGTTTGCGTCGGGCCAACCCATTGTACATTAATAATATTTAAATAAACTAAAATTAGAAACCCAATATGCATTTTATGTTTGGGTCGGGCTAACCCGTTGTAATTTTATGTTTGGGTCGGGCCAACCTATCGGAAAGATGATTTCGTGATCACATTCATTTATGTTATTAAGCTCCCTGATTTTATGTAAATATTGATTTCTTGTGCAAATTGTCAAAGCTTGTATAAAGAAGGTCAAGGTTAGGCCAGCTGCATTGATGCAACTGGAGAAATAGGTCGACATGAATCGCAATTCCGCAAAAATAGCAAGCTATCCCAAAAATGGCATGTTCAATGAAAAATAATTAATTATTCAGATGTAACCTCTTTATTCTTCAAATTTAATTTGATATAGGGTACTTACTCAATAATGCCCAAATAGATGATGTAGGCTAAAAGCCAACCCTTTGGAATGGGAGGTCTTTGTTTGTTGTAAAGTGCGGCTACAAGCAAAGCGTAGAAAGCCACTGTGTTTTTATAGTATAAAAACACAGTGAGCTTCATGTCAGCTCTGAATGTCATCTTAATGATAATGGAGTTACCCCTGATGAGCAGTTGGATCAAAAAGCCAAGAATAAACGGTATAACTCATTTCATTCTTCCACACAATAGACTATACCAACAAAAAAAAAAACCTTAGTTAGAATAGTATTGTAAATTCTAGAAGTCATAATCCAACTCCAAGAATTGAATTTTTATAAGCAGAGAAACTTATGTAAGATGTGGGAACATCCAAAGTGGCAAATGAACAAACATTCACTTCCCCCTTCAACTTGCCATAAAAGTTTGAGAGTAATCCAATCCACTGTACCAAACGAGCTCTAAGACAAACCACCACATATCCAGACCACATTATGTAACATGCAGGGAGTAGTTACCATGACATGTGTTACTTATGCGTTAATACATATGTCATCTTCCACATAATCTAGTGAAAAAGTTGGTCTGGCCTATTTACTGAACTCAAAGCGAAGTGTTCATTTATGTATTGTTAGTATAAATGAAATGAACAAGAACTATGTAGTCACCAAAAACTCAAATTCTTAATCAACGGCAGCACCACCTGAGAAAGGCAAAAGCTAATAAGTTTTATGTGTGTTTCTATGTGAAAGAAATCCCAAATTAGAGTAGTATATTTAATAGATTGTGCTCGTTTTATGTTTGTGTCAGGCTAACTTGTTGTACATCTAGAAGTATATATTTAAAGAAACAAAAATTAGGAACCCAATTTGCATTTCATATTAACTATTTACACCAATCTCTAACCCATTGATTTGTCTCATTTTGTTAGTACATTGGTGCTCATTTTACGTTTGCGTCTGGCCAACTCATTGTACATTAATAATATTTAAATATACTAAAATCGGAAACCTAATATGCATTTTATGTTTGGGTCGGGCCAACCCATTGTACATTTTATGTTTGGGTTGGGCCAACCTATCGGAAAGAAGATTTTGTGATCACATTCATTTATGTTAATTAAGCTCCTTGATTTTATGTAAATATTAATTCCTTGTGCAAATTGTCAAAGTTTGTATAAGAAGGTCAAGGCCAGGCCGGCTGCAATGATGCAACTAGAGAAATTGGCCGGCGTGAACCGTGAAACTGCAAAAACAGCTAGCTGTCCCAAAAATGGCCTACAATGAAAAATAATTAATTATTCAGATGTAACCTCTTTATTCTTCAAATTTAATTTGATATAGGGTACTTACTCAAGAATGCCCAAACAGGTGATGTAGGCTAAAAGCCAACCCTTTGGAATGGGAGGTCTTCGTTTGCTATAGAGTGCAGCTACAAGCAAGGTGCAGAAAGCCACTGTGTTTTTTATGCTATAAAAACACGGTGAACTTCGTGTCAGCTTTGAATGCCATCTTGATGATAATGGAGTTGCCCCCGATGAGTAGTTGGATCAAAAAGCCAAGAATAAAAGGTACATCTCCTTTCATTCTTCCGCACAATGGACTATACCTACAAAAAAAAAAAAAAAAAATTTAGTTAGAACTGTATTGTAAATTCTAGAAGTCATAATCCAACTCCAAGAATTGAATTTTTATAGGCATAGAAACTTACGTAAGATGCAGGAACATCCAAAGTGGCAAATGAAGAAACATTCACTTCCATCTTCAACTTGCCGTAAAAGTTTGAGAGTAATTCAATCCTCTGTACCAAACGAGCCCCAAGACAAACTAACACATATCCAGACCACATTATGTAACAGGCAGGGAGTAGTTATCATGACATATGTTACTTATGCGTTAATACATACATCATCTTCCACATAATGTGGTGAAAACGTTGGTCTGGCCTATTTACTAAACTCAAAGCAAAGTGTTCATTTATGTATTGTTAGTTTAAATGAAATGAACAAGAAATTTGTTGTCACCAAAAACTCAAAATCTTAATCAACGGCAGCACCACCTGAGAAAGGCATAAGCTAATAAGTTTTATGTGTGTTTGTATTTGAAAGAAATCCTAAATTAGAGTAGTAATTTTAATAGATTGTGCTTGTTTTGTGTTTGTGTCGGGCTAACCTGTTGTATATCTAGAAGTATATATTTAAAGAAACAAAAATTAGGAACCCAATTTGCATTTCATATTAACTTTTTACACCAATCTCTAACCCATTGATTTGTCTCATTTTGTTAGCACATTTGTGCTCATTTTATGTTTGGGTCAGGCCAACCCATTGTACATTAATAATATTTAAGTAAACTAAAATTAGAAACCCAACATGCATTTTATGTTTGGGTCGAGCCAACCCATTGTACATTTTATGTTTGGGTCAGGCCAACCTGTTGGAAAGAAGATTTTGTGATCACATTCGTTTATGTTATTAAGCTCCTTGATTTTATGTAAATATTGATTCCTTGTGCAAATTGTCAAAGCTTGTATAGCCTTTGCAAACCTAAAAAAGTATTGTCATATACTAAGATCAATTGAAATCATCCAAAATCAACCAAAAACGTGTGTGTGTTCTCTATTTTATTTCCCTGCACTGTTTAATCTTTTACAAGTCTCTCTGCAACAAGAGGCTAGGCCAGAGTGGCCTTCAAGTATACAAGTTCAGGTATGAAGTCGATAGTACAAGAATAAAATACTTTTTTTTGCCATGAGCAAAGTTAAGGGTAGATACAATCAATTGCAAGGTGATACTTGTAGCAATGATTTTTTGATAGTAGTTAAGTGATCATACAATGTCTGTCCTAGGAAGTGTGTATAAGTTTTTAAATCTTTAGAAAACCTTACCAATGCCTTAATGTACAAAGATGGACGCTATGATTCAAACGATATACATGTTCCCTTGGTACAACAAGTTCAACGTTGAGTACAAGAAAGAAGTTTGAGATTTTGGAGCTATGCTGGTTAGGAAGTGAACGATCATTGAGGCAACTCGATGCGCGTCTGCTGCCACTTGTCCTATTGAAAGACAAAGAGGCCAATCACAATAACGCAACCTCCCACAATGCTGAAACATAAAATAAACTTTAAGTTTTTATACAAGATTAAGAGTTAACAAAACTTTAACATTATTATATGTAAGCAATGATGCAGTTTCTTACTTCCCAGTGTCAACATTCTCCTTCAGTACTGTAGCCCCTAGTACCATGAAAATAACCATGGCTAGGGGGCTAAAAAATGACAGAAAAATGACACCTCTCATCTTAATCACTAGGCTCTGTAGCCATGCCATCGATGCAGAGACTACTGGACCCTACAAGAACAATGCAAAAATCAAAATTATGTCTATGTTACGCAATTAAAAGATCACTTCAAAGTTCAAACTACCCCAAAACTCACCGAATACAGGTAGCATGCCAACATCACGTTTAACCCCAGTACCCATGCATCTGTTGTACTCTCTGAAGGAAGATTTGTGAAAAACATGTTCATTTAAGCAACATCAATAGCATGCAATTAACAATTAAAGGCGGAATCATGCTTGTATGCACTTAAAACAAAACATTTACCCATGAAATTCAAAGCCTAGTAGATAGGTGAACCAAGACTCAACTCAAAACAAAGTGAGTTGAGAAATCAATACCTTTGTAGATTCCTCTTTGTATAAGCAAAGGCTAATCACCCAAAGAGAGGGCCTTCAT